GTGTTTACCAAGGGAAGCAATATAGATTGAGAACAATAGGGGACCAAGGACAGACCCTTGGGGTACACCAACAGAGAGGAATCTGGGAGAAGAGGCAGAGCCAGAGAAAGACACACTGAAAGAGTGCTGGGAGATGTAGGTGGAGCACCAAGAAAGAGCGGTATCTCGTAGACCTAAATTACATAGGACGAGAAGAAGTTGTTAATGATCAGCAGAAAGATCAAGAATTACGACAGATTAGTGCCCACGGGATTTTGCAGTGATAAAATCATAGGATACTTTGGTCACAGCCGTTTCACAGCTGACGAGCATGGAATCCAGATTGAAGCGACATTGTCATATGATTGAACAGAAATTTCAAATAAACAAACTCCAAATGTCGGTGTTCGTTTGTTCATTTAGTTTATTACAATGACGGAGCTACTGGCGCGCAGCTCCATCCTTGTAATATGTAAAAATAGAAGGGACAGGGAGCAGTGCTCCCCGCCACTTCCAAGCCCCCATGTCCTCCCTCACTCTTTGGGGGTCAATATGATTACAATTATGATTAAAATCTCCGGAATGCCCCTACTCACTATACTGTGAGTAGGGGCATGTCTACTAAACAGTGAGCAGCCTGTGGCCGCTCACTGTTCTAAAATATAATCTCCGCACCCCCTGAATCAATTAATGGGGGATCTAGTACAGGTCCCCCATGGTAGGGCATCTAGAAAAATAATTAACAGGGGAGAACATAGTGTCCTCCCCCAGCACCCACCCATGCCTGCTAGTGGGGGCTATTCAAAGGAACAGGTACCCCCCTGCAGCCCACACCCATGAGCGGAGGGGGAGGGCCATAATAACAAAAGGGGAGGGGCATACTGCCTCCCCCTTGCCCCCACCCATGAGTTGCGGGTGGGGGCCCTAAGTAAAAATAGGAGGGGTGGCCTATTGTCTCCCCTCGACTCCCAACCATGAGCGGTGGGTGGGGGCCCTAAGTAACAAAAGGAGGGGGGACCTATTGTCTCCCCCCTCCCGGCCCCTATCCATTAACAGTGGGTGGGGGCCCTCAGTGACAAAAGGGGGGGGACCTATTGTCCCCCCCCAGCCCCCACTAATTGGCGACGGGTGTGGGCTAAATGTAAAAGATCCCCCCACAGGTGATTAGGGGTCCCACCCCAATAAAATGAAACATTATCTTTAAAAATAGTGAGGGGGGGAACAAAAAATTAAATACCTGTGTAACCACTAGTACATAACATCTTACTCACATCATATCTGATGATTTCTAGCATTAATCTCTCTCTTTCTGCTCGTGCTTCGGTAGTTCATGGCTATGTAAAGGAACGTATAGTAATCCCCTACCTACACCCCACTGTCCTGGGACTAATGGACCATGCCGTGCTGGTGTATTTGGTATATTAGGGCGTTTACCGAATAGTTGTATATATGTCTTTCTTGTCATATTAATTAAGGTCCGTGTACATAAATCTGGTAAACTATTAGGTAGTTCTGTAAATGTTGGCTGATCTAGATCCACATGTTCAGCATCAGTTAATTGAATGCTGATTATAGCATACCTGGCTCCTGAACCCCAAGGGCCTTGTACAAGTTCACATAGTACAATTTCTCCATGATATAGATCTCTCTGTGTCTGAGCTACAAAAAGTTCATTCAATTCTCTATATCTCAAGAATACTTATCCCATGACAGAGATTTGTGTCTTCTCTTACGTATAAGAGATTACCAAGGTATAAATTTTGTTTACAAACAAGTAAAGTTAGTGCTTCCAGCCCCACGTTGGGCGCCAATTGTAACCGCTAGTACCCCTATTTACCACTATTACGTCTTAAACGATAGAATTAATAATTGAGAATACAATGAAAATAGGGAGTTGGAAGCAATAACCTTTTATCTTTATAAAATAGTTTATTGAATATAAATGAATACAGCTATACAAATGCATAATAATCCATTAAAGGACCACTCTAGGCACCCAGACCACTTCAGCTTAATGAAGTGGTCTGGGTGCCTGGTCCAGCTAGGGTTAACCCATTTTTTTATAAACATAACAGTTTCAGAGAAACTGCTATGTTTATGAATGGGTTAAGCCTTCCCCCAAAGCCTCTAGCGGCTGTCTCATTGACAGCCGCTAGAGGTGCTTGCGTGCTTCTCACTGTGATTTTCACAGTGAGAGCACGCCAGCGTCCATAGGAAAGCATTGCAAATGCTTTCCTATGAGACCGGCTGAATGCGCGCGCAGCTCTTGCCGCGCGTGCGCATTCAGCCGGCGGGGCGTAACGGAGGCGGAGAGGAGGAGGAGAGCTCTCCGCCCAGCGCTGGAAAAAGGTAAGTTTAAACCCCTTTCCCCCTTCCAGAGCCGGGCTGGAGGGGGTCCCTGAGGGTGGGGGCACCCTCAGGGCACTATAGTGCCAGGAAAACGAGTATGTTTTCCTGGCACTATAGTGGTCCTTTAATATATCATAAAGCAGAGTATATAGAATTAAATGAATATATGCTTGCAATAAATAGAAAGTATTAGTATAACAGGTAATCTCTCAGTATATGTCACCTTCAAAGTCAGTCAGTAAATCTCTGTCCAGCATTGGTCATCATGTATATATAGTATAACATTTCTTATTACTACTGGCAATATATAGGTTAATTCATTTTAAGGTTAAAGCAGTTCATTTATGAAAAATAAAATAAAAACATCCTTATTGTTAGTCTTTATTTACTAGAAGTTAGTGTGATGTAGCATAGCCTTGAAGTTGTTATTGCAATTATTGTTATTGTGTTTCATCTAGTACAAAAGGGCGTAAGTTACGATTACGTAGCATAGCCTTGAATTTGTTTATGCTAGAACAAAATGGCGTATGCACTAAAAGTGAGAGGTTATTAATTAAAGAAACATGTTACAGTTTAAGAATTACAATTTAGCAATGTGTATTATATCGTTGCCTATCACACCTGTAAATGAAAAAAAAAATGATACCATTAGATGTCTTCTTTTTTCTTAAACCTTCTTTTTTCAACTCCCAAAAAGGCCAAATAAAAATCCATTATTCCCATCGAATTTATAAAATAAAATAAATACCAGAGCTCAAAATAAAAAACACGTCCCCAAAAAAAAAAAAATTTTTAGGGTGAGGGAGTAGGTAGTGTTTAAGTTATTAGGGTGGGACCCCTAGTCACCTGTGGGGGTGGAGATTTTTTTATATTTGGCCCCCAACCGTCGCCAATAAGTGGGGTCTGGGGAGGGACAATAGGTTCCCCCCTTGTGTTATTTAGGGCCCCCACCCACCACTTATGGGTGGGGGCTGGAGACAATAGGTCTCCCATCCTCTTTTGATTTAGGGCCCCACCCGCCGCTCATGAGTAGGGGCGAGACAATAGGTCTCCCCTTTTTATTTAGGGCCCCCACCCGCCTCCAATTGGTGAGGTCTGGGGGGACAATAGGTGTCCTCCCTTGTGTTACTTAGGGCCCCCACCCGCCGCTCTGTGATCCCGCCCACCGGCTGTGGAGACCTAATGCACATGCGTGGCAATGCACGCGGATTAGAGCTCTCCATAAGAAAGCATTGAAAATGCTTTCCTATGGGGAATTGAGCGACGCTGAAGGTCTTCACAAAACTATATAGACACTATAGGAGGAGTTAACCCTGCAAGGTAATTATTGCAATTTGTAAAAAACTGCAATAATTACACTTGCAGGGTTAAGGGTAGTGGGAGTTGGCACCCAGACCACTCCAATGGGCAGAAGTGGTCTGGGTGCCTACAGTGTCACTTTAACCACTTGTAGAGGTATACCAAGATACCTCTACAAGTGGTAAAGTTAAAGTGCTATATTCAAGTCCTGCCAAATGGCTAGTACTTTGCACTAGTCCATTTGGCAGGACTTGAATATAGCACTTTAACTACAGACTTTTAGAATATTGTCTTATTTATTGTTTTTTATTGATTATTTTAATAATGTATTTTTAATACTTTTTTGAATAAATATTTGGCTGTATATCCCATATTGAATCTTCTATCGAGAAGTCTGTTAAGCGAAGTGGGATTTTTTTGGGAATTCTGGCAAATTAAGTGAGAATATCCATTCATCTTGGAACCCCTTCAAGCCAAGTGGGACCAGCGATCCAGCCACGTGGTAATAGGAGAGGGACATCATTAAAAAAGTCCCAAGGCGACATCAGTGAGAGCCACATATTTTTGGCTCTATGCGTGTGAGTACTTCACTTAAATCTTACATTGCCTATTTGCATAAACTTTATTACACTATTTTGTGTTTTGCATATATCTTTTACAGACATACCCAGAAGTGTGACCTTCCTACTATTGTATGTATTTATTTAGACCAAACATATAATCCCAATAACTAGGTAGGGAGGGTGGGGACTAAGTTAAAATAGGGGCTCTCTCTAAAATATCCACTATTTATGTGGCTATAGGCCACCACTTCCCAAATTCCAATAATCCACTCCCCTTATCCATATGCCCGCCTCCTAGCTAGGTCAAGGCCCACTTCCCTTATCTGTTTCCTGGTCTTCACGTGTCTGTTTGTGCATGTCTGTCTTTGTCAGTCTGTGGCGTATTGAGGGGGCGCTTGGAAGGGTCACAAAACATTTTTTGGGGCTCAATCCCTGGGTGGGTGTTTTTTTAACCTTAGCAACCCCCTTTGGCTTGACTCCCATTGGGGCGTTCCCAAATTAATTAAAAGGACAAATTACTCTGGAAAGCTATATTTTAATGTATGGAGTTGCCCATTAGAAGACCCCCAGCATGGAGTATGGAGTGTCTGGTTATATTTAATACAATAAAACAATGGGATCCAGTTACACACACTCTTATTTAACACTTTCAATGCCAGGAGGTGGGTAACCAACATGAGACTGGATAATGAACGTCTTATTGTCCATTGCCAGCTGTGACTCTTTCCTGACAGCGTGTGACGTCACGTGCGCCGGGTTCACGCGGTGGGGGGTGGGGGGAGAGGAGGGGAGTGACGTCGCGGGCACGGCTTGGTCGCTAAGCGCGCGATGTCCGCAAGGAGAGGACGCGGTGACAGCTCGTGACGTCGTAAAGGAAGTGGCGCGAAAGCGGGCTCCAGGGTGAGTGGTGCGTGCCACGCTGGAACGCACGGCAAAAAGGGGATGATAATAATAGAGCAATTCACACACTGCATGGGAACTGCACGTGGAAGTTGCAAAGTTCACCTCTGTTTGAGCTCACTATTACAGCATGGTGTCACATATATATATCATTAGGCTGGCTGAGATTCATGTGGGTTGTATTCTACAAAAATGTTGATTTAACATTTGGCCACCCCTGATATAGGCTTTGATAGTGATAGGCAACCTTGGGTATTACAGCAGTTATGGACTTCATTTCCTATTATCCCTAGGCAGCTTCTCCATCATGGGGAATGTTGTCCAAAACAGCTGGTGTGGTTTACATATAACTATATATATATATATATATATATATATATATATATTGTTGCTCAATGTATTGCTTTTTTTTCCTGCCACAGAACATATTGGTAAGACAAAACATTTGACTACTTACTGTGACTTACTGTCAAGGCACTCCTGGTACCATAACTATTACATATTACAGTGGTCTGAAGTTTTTATGTTGCTTGGACCATTCCTTAACCCTCCCCCCCCCCCAAAGCATACGGTGTGACAAAACTTGACAAATGGCAGAGTTACTGCTGTCAAATTTTGTCAATCCCCGCCCTCCCTTACTTGTCACGAGTGAGGACTATGAGGAAAAAAGTAGTGTCTATAGAGGTACCCACTCAATTAGTAGCATTGGAAAGCTGTGATCATGTGCGCTCATGACTTCAGCACAAGACTTCTCCAATGACTGGCCTTTTCTCCAGCACAGACATAAAGTCTGAGGGGTGGGCTTACAAACGCTGCAGACATAATTTTCATTTTTTTTTATTTTATTTTTTATGATCAGCGGGTGCCACCAAGGAACACTCCACTGATTTCTTTTTTAATACATATTTAATAGATATACACCTAAAGAAAACATGCAGGAAAAAGTAAATGTGTGTGATCATAAAAAATATGAAAATGGGAAAAAAAAAATAGCATGTGGCCCATATTTTGCTCTATGGATAGGAAAGCCGCTTTTTAATTCTCTTAACAGTAATGGCATCACGATTTTATCCTTCCACCACCATATGTATGCAAATCAGTCATTGTTAAAGGAACACTAGTGTCGGGAATACAAATGTATTCCTGACGCTATAGTGCTGGTGTGGCTGTTTAGGCTACTGCCCCGCTCCGATCAAGCTGAAAAGGTGATTTAGTCACGTGTTTCCCAAGCTGTTCTGGTCTCACTGTGGCTGATTCCGCCTCAATGGCTGAGATCACCAGTCTTGATAATCTCAGCCAATCCAATGATTTCCCATAGGAAAGCATTGCGGCTATTGCACATGCACAACAAAACGCCACGCTGGCCAATCAGCTTCTTCTCATTGAGATTTATTGAATCAATACATCTCTATGGTGATTGTTCATGGAGACTCTGAATGTTGGTGCTGCACAGTGGACTAGGAAGCACCACTAGTGGCCGTGTGAGTGACTGCCACTGGAGGTGTTGCTAGGCAGCAATGAACATTTTCTCTGAAAAGGCAGAATATACATTGAAATGCTTGGAGGGACAGTTCATAGTCATGAGAACCACTACATTAAGCTCCAATGGTTCTGGTGACTATAGTGTCCTTTAAAGTTTCTGTAATATTTTTTTGTTTTTAGGGTTTCTTTTTGGAATATCATCCTATTACTTAACACAGGATGACCAGTGAGCAACGGAAGCTGCCGCAGTGGATGTCTGCCAAAGACAGAGAAAGCACAAGTGATGGTACAAAGGCAAGTACAACTGTCCAGATTACAATTTATTAAACAATGTATTCAGATAAATGATTTTTGACATTCTAGTTGCTAGGCATTAATTCTAATAAGACAGGGTATGTTGTTAGTTTGTAACACAGCATAAGGCTTGTGAACATTTGCCACTAGATGAGGGGGGTGCAAACAAATGTGGGTTTATATTGAACTACAGCTAAAATGTTGTGCTCTGCGGGGCTAAGAAGATTACAAACTACTAAAAGTTATCACTGCATCCCCAGGGTGTCCATGGCACATATAGCAGGGCTGAATTTTCACTGGCCACTGACTAATAGAGAGTGGGAAATTTGAGCCATTCTGTATTGGATCGGAATTGTTATGTAGTGACGATGGTAATGTTTCTACGGCTTGGTAAGACAGAGGACGACTTGTGCAAAGCTGGACTGTGAATACTTTGTGACTTAGCGTAAGTGGTAACCTTCTACGTGCAATTGAAGCCTGCCACTTTTGAAACAGGTTTAAATGGTACGCATCATTCAAGATGTCAAATCTCATGTTGCCGGTTTTGATTAATACGTTTTCTGTGTTATGGGTATCTCTAATGCTTGAAAATGAAGAAGTTTAACTTTTCTGTTTAATTTTTCTTTAATTAGGCTTTCTTTAAGAAGAATATCTTGGAAGATGACCTCCCGTTCTTTGAGTTTAATGGTGCAATAGTCTATAGCTATGAATCAAATGACTGCTCCCTGTTGTCAGAGCTTATCAGGTTAGAAATTACATTAATTATTATCTTGTGCAATGTTATAATAAAAAAAACTACTAAAACCTTGCCAAATTTCTGGCATAGTCTAGTACGTTTTCATCAAGACGCAATACCGTGATTGAATATCTGTTTTATACTTGACTATGTTTAGTTTGAATGCAATGAATCTTCAGGTTTTTTTATTTTTATTATTTGTATTTATTTTTCTTCATTGTGGTTCTTTTCATGCTCCAGATCTGAGCTGTCCGAACGGGCCGTACTTGGTTTTGACATTGAATGGCCTGCTATATATACGAAGGGAAAAAATGGCAAAGTGGCCCTTGTTCAGGTGTGCGTGTCAGAAAGAAAATGCTACTTGTTTCATGTTTCCGCAATGGCAGGTGAGGGCTAATGTTATGAACAGAATTATTGTCAAACATTGCCTTGCATGTTTTTACATTCAGTTGTTATGATATGAGTAGGTAACACGGTTTTGTGCTGTGTATAGTTTCTGGGAAAAGGGCCCCACTTACTTGGATTCTCAAGATAATTTGTTGTAACGGTCTTACCCCTCTCCCAACTGATATTAAGGCATGGCTTCCTTGAGCTTCACGTAATGTTTTACCTACCAAACATGCATAGAAATGTTAGCTTGTTTGGTTTACAAAGTCTGTATTTTTTTCCCCATATGCAACTGTGTGCAAAAGTTTGGGTACCCCTGACCAAAGAAATTGATCTAATACATTAATACATTATTTGCAGAAAAAGTAAACCTTAACATGCGATCACACAAGTTAAAACTTGAGATATGGAACACAACACATAGGTAAATAAGGGACATTTTGGAAAAAGTACAGTGGCACAGGAAATATTGTTACGGTAGAGGGAAGAATGGATTCTACTAAATTAATTCTTCTGTATAGCAACTCATCCAGAAGCTAATGTCTGATTGACATTGAAGAAATTGAAGGTGAAATGATCATGGTGCATGGGGTCTCTATGAAATTCTGCACCTACTGAGATTAACCCTATGCTGCTGGCAGTGTAACTCCACCTACGGCAGCGTCATTAGACTGCCTTGATTGAAGTTTCATAGTAAAGATAAAACAGAGTTGGGGGCACACCTGGGACATGCATTTTGCAGGAATTGTGCCCCAATATCGTGGTGGGCTTAACATAATATGGTCTGGTCATATGGTGGATCTGAATCCCCATATTTGTTTGCTGAGATAAGTGATTTTAATGAGCCTTATAAGATTTAAAAAAACATATTTTTATGTGTGCGCTGTAACTTAATCTGAACAAAGTTTCAGGCTGGCTAAAGTCAATTCTATGCAAAACTGGCATCTGATAAAAGCGTGCAAAGTATGATTGTGCCAAACATCCAGTAGTGGCACAGCCCCCCTCTCTCTATGCTGCCCCGTTCTCTCCTCAGTCCGTCATCTCTGACCTTCCTCCGGCAAGGGTTAATGATGTTATCAGAGGAAATTCTGGCTGAGGGAGAATTTGGTGGTAAAGAAAAAGGTGTTTTTTTTTTTTTTTTCTTTTTTTTTTGGTGTGGCGCAGACCAAATCTCCCATGAAGTGTTTTGACTGTTAACTTTGTGGGAAGATATGATATCACAGACATTGGTATACTTTTTGGCAGGCTTCCCAAAGGGGCTGAAAAGACTGCTGGAAGATACATCAATAAGTAAAGTTGGAGTAGGAATCGAAGGCGATCAGTGGAAGTTAATGAGTGATTGTGACCTAAAACTGAAGGGATTCATTGAACTTACAGACTTGGCCAATGAAAAGGTATATATTTTTCTTATCCTTTTTCATAATTTTTGCTTGTATAATTTTAAGTTGTTTCGATTTATTTTGTCTATATATGTGTGTAATTCTACTAAGCTAAGTAGGATACGTTTTTCTTTTTCACGAACTGTTCTAAGCTGTTGTGATTATGGTGCCAGAAGTGCCCTAGTGCCTCCCCGGTGTAAGGAGTCAAACTGTATTTAAATGGTTTGAATTCTTACCAGGGGTCTGTCAGACACCGCTCCCCACCTCCATTACCAACTACTTCTAAGCAGGAACTTCTGTTTGCTCTCCTGAGTTAGGCCCTTCAGTGAGTGCTTTAGCTTATTGACTGAGAGTGTCAGCTGATCACTGTGCAGGGCTTAGCTCTGGAGAGCTAACGAAAATTAGGAGCTTCTGCCTCTCCGATGTTAGTGAAGACGTGGAACGGCCCCCAGAGTACCCCATGTAAAACAGTTTGACTACTTACTGGAGGTGGGAGATTTGTTTTTGAGAGGGTATAGGGGATATTTCTGTGTGCTTAATAGTGACTAAATAGTAGTAAGTATCATTTAGATGCTTTCTTTCTGAGGCACTAACCTTTAATAGTCTGAAGGGTGAGTTTGAGGATAGATGTTAACCATGTAAATGCTTCTCAGAAGAACAATGCGATTTACATGCCACTGTACCTACCACATATCCTATTTTGCGTACCATGAAATAAGGTTCTGTAATGTCTGGTGGAATCTTAAAAAATTACTACATATTACTACTTTTCATATTTTTCTTTATATCCAACATTGCATATGCATCTTTTGAATCTTTTAATTGGAACTCTTACACATTTTGTGCAAATGCAGCAAAATCAGTGTGAACAAGAATATCTGAACAAACTATCTCTGAATCCTGAGGGTAAAGGAGTCTTAATATTAGCATTTCTGTGACCTAATTTTGAGAATGCTGCCGTCTTCCAATTGTTCAATAGGAAGCAGTGTATGTAATGAAATGCCTTTTATGCTCACTTTCTTATTAGCTTAAATGCAAAGAAAAGTGGAGTCTCAATGGCTTGGTGAAGCACCTGTTCAAAAAACAACTACTGAAGGACAAATCTATACGCTGCAGCAGATGGGATGCGTATCCTCTCACTGAGGAGCAGAGACTATATGCTGCCTCTGATGCTTATGTAAGTGTGTAAGCATGCTACCAAAGTAGTACATGTAAATATTAATATGCATCTTAGCTCAATGAGAACGGTAGTTTTTTTTGTGGTTTATTTTAATTTTATTTTTAATAAAAAAAAAAAAAAAAAATAGAAATTCTCCTTTTACTTAAAGAATCTTCTTTTAATCTATAATCTGTTTGAAATTCTAGCCATATTGAGTGTCCGTTCGGTCAACTGAATTCTTCTAACACAATTAACACTTAAGGAACATTTGGTGGCAACCTTATACTAGATTTGTAAGGATTTAAGTATGGCTTGGCAATTTGTTCTCAGGAGAGCCATCTCGAACTTTGGAACCCACATATAGAAGAGGGGAAAGTCAGCTCCCATGATTAAAGATTCTAGGTCTATTCATCGCCTGCGATCTGGAGGAGGGTGCCAGTGGATAATTTGGGTCAGCTGCTCTGCTAGATAGTAAAAATGGGTGAGGGAACCCCTCTGCTGATTTTGGCCTATAGAGGACACTGCGTGCCACTTGTTAGTGCTTGCGTTACCAAATAAAGTCATCTATGGCCTGCTGTAGTCCTCACAGGTCTCTTTTAGTTATCCTGATCGGGAGGGCCTGGAACAAAACAGCAGTGGTGGCAACACGTTCATCTTCACTGAATGTATACGCTCGATCCAAGAAAAAGGCTTATCCGTCCAGTAAACCGTATCCTTAACTAATGTGTGTAACAACGGAGTATAATTGTGTTGAAATACATTAATCATTTTGTTTGCTTGGCACTGCATTCTCTCAGTTTGATGTAACTTGGTATTTCTGTTAAACTGTATGCAAAACCATCTGCAGGAAAGAATGTGTGTGTGTGTGATTGCTCATTCAATGTTTTGTAGGCTGGACTTCAAATTTACGAGAAATTAGAAAGGATGGATGACCAAGAGAAGGCAGCTCTTTGTATACTCAAAGGTAAATGTGGATATAATGGCTTTGTTTGTGTATGCTTACCCACCTATGCAACAAAATGCAAACTGTAAAATAGTAACTTTATACGAATATATTCGAGGCCAGTACAAACCATTATCTGGAAATCTATTCATAAACAGGGCTATACATAGGACACAAGGTCACGCATTTAGGCTGGAAGAAAGGAGATTTAACCTAAGGCAAAGAAAAGTTGTTTTGTTTTTTTGTTTGTTTTTGTTTTTTTACCGTGAGAACTATAAGGATGTGGAATTCACTGCCTGAAGAGGTGGTTTTATCTGAGTCTATACAGATGTTTAAACCGCAATTGGATAAATACTTCCAAAAACATAACATAAAGGGATATAATTTCTAATTAGTGGGGTAATAGCAGCTTGATCCAATGAGACATTGGACTGCTATTTTGGGGTCAAGAAGGAATTTTTTCCTAGTTTGTTGCAAAATTGGAAGCGCTACAGACTATGTTTTTTGCTTTCTTTTGGATCAACAGCAAAAACATATGTGAGGAAGGCTGAACTTGATGGACGCAAGTCTCTTTTCAGCTATGTAACTATGTAATTTCATGTTATTTATAGGGACTAATGTTGAGCCCATGGAAGTTAAACAGCAGCTGAGAAGTCTGTCGCAGCAATTTCTTGATCTGGTAGACCAGGTCCCAAGCAGTTTTGGAAACTGTAAAGATGCTCAAAGGTAGTACTTTCTAATTTAAAAATTTTTTATTTTATTTTTATTTGTTAACATTGCTTGTGTGTGTAAATCATTTATAAAGTTGGTGACTTACAATCAATGTTCATAATGCTCTTGAATTCTACAGAGCTATGGATTTTCTTGGTGATCTTTCGGAGAGAGTCGATGAATTAAAAAACCTAATGCTGGATTCCTCCAGAGAAGAAAACAGTCCATTAGAAGACTGCATCCAAAAGGAAGAGTCTGTTGAGGAACATGCCGAGACTGTAAGTGGTCCTGATAAAGTACCACCTGCAAATACGGAGGAGAGCATGAGACCTAAATCCTGTGGAGAACAAGATTTCTTCAATACTTTGGGCATCAGTGAAGAAGAACTTTCCGTGATGGAACAAGAAGTACTTTCATTCTTTTATAATGCTGAATTCTGGGTGTTTTGAAATCTATCACATTTGGGACAGAATTAACACAAGCTGCCCAGATAGCATTTTGGCTGCGTGCTTGACATCCCTAGGCTGGTTTATAGCTGCAAAGATGTTTACAATTTGGTCCCGTTATGAGACACTTTCAATGATCCTTTAATTAAGGTGTAGCTTTTTTTTTTCTCTCTCCGCACAGCAGAATCGATAGGTTAAAAAAAAACCTCTAGAATAAGTATAAATAGGATGGTTCACTCCTTACTAGAAAGTCTCTCGACCAGCGGGACAGAGTATGTTTTAGCAGGCCAGAATCTATCTTTCGCAGGACGATTTTTGAAAACGCCCAGCCAAGAGAAGTTTAGCTTTTATCAGGAGACCCAAAAAATGCTTCCTATATGTGAAGGTGGTCTGGCCTTTCTATTTATAGTGTATGATGTGCATGGGAAAATCTCCGGTTTTGGTATGTTAGACTGTCATCCAGTGGTTAAGCTGGGCCTGTTGTTGCTGATTGATTTGCTATTTCATGACTCAGGCCAGCATTTTCCGTTTCAGTAGTTTTGATTACAGGCTTAGTTTGGTGATGAAAATATCTCATATAAAGACTGGGCTTGTAATTAGTTCCCCAGGGCCGTATGGTGCTTGAAAAGAGTATGGTGTTTGCGATGCATATATAATAGGCCTGACTAGTTTTTATTTATTTATTTTTGTATGTTGCTTTGAAAATAAGATATATATTTGGTACACATAAGGACATGTTTGCATTGTCTTTGAATTATGAATCTAATTATGTTCTAAGGCTAAATCATTCTTTCATCCATTACTCCCCTAAAGCAGGATATCTTGAGAGGACCTTCTAAGACATGAAATTGTCTATAAAAGATTGGACCATCCATCCTACCTTGAGTGTTTTTTCCTATTCTTTAGAAGGATGGTTTCATTTCTTTTTTTCTCATGGGTATCTTTTTTTTATTATTTATTTTTTGACAATCTTTATAGTTTTACATCAGAAATATAAAAGTTCTGAAAAGTTATATAGGATAGACAACGTGTTAGAATCCAGTAGTAAAGAAAGAAAATAGGTATTATCCACCAAGCAGTGGGCAATATGTGGGTACAAAGCAATAATACATAAGAGCATACAGTAACCCCTTGGTCTAGGAGTCTATCTAATTGAATATAGTTATCTGGCATCGGATCTCATTTGTGCGTAAAAACATTATATATTATTAATACATTCAATGGTTGCATCTGGCGAGTGAGAAAGGGCACACAGTATTAGTGAGTGTGAAGTTTACCGAGTTATAGTGTTACAATATTAATATGGGGGAGATCAAGCAGTATAGAGCAGGCTTGACTCACGTTGAGATTGTCAATCTCTCCACATCCCACCACAGTGTGGTCTCCTGCCCCCCAGGTGGCCATCCCCGTCGTCTCCCTATACATCTACCTGTTTTCAAAAACACTGCCCCCAGCCACTCATCACACAATCAAATCTGCTAATCTGTGGGTAGCTAGAGCAAGAGGGGAGGGTCTTCAGTGTGTACAAGAATCATACGGGTCATGGAGGAGGATGAGAGGAGTAAAAAGAAAGAGGAAGAAGAAACGAAAGAGGAGAGAGCAAAAATAGGGGGGATGGGAAGGTAAAGTGAGGTCCAATCTTACTCTCAGTGGCTCATGCCTTGCCTCATGGGTATCTTGATGGCTAGAATTTTACATGAACATAGGTTGCATATAATCCTTTGGGTTGTAGTTAGCATGTGGGAGCTTTCTCAGCAGGAGCAAAATGTGAAATATTAGATTTAATGAGAAACCCCCCTCTCTGATACAGTGTTCTATCTCATTGTGTTCCCCCTGTCCTCCCCCCCCCCCATACTGAACAGTAAAAATTTTCATTTTTGAATCATCGTAGAGTCTTCGTTCCACAATCTTGACAAAGATCGTATTTTTTTTATTTCAATGACCTATGCAGGGTACTTGATCAGCCTCTGATAATTGTTTTGGGATCATTTTTGGAGGAGGTTTCATTGAAAGCCTCCACTATGTGAAGTGTTAAATGACTATTGAAGACTAAAATAAAATACATGGTTATTCGCTAGTCCACTCCTCACAGTATGGTTTAACATTGTTAAATATTTGATTAGTATCCTGTTGTTTAATATCGACTTACTTTCTGACTTCTTCCCAATATATTTATCATAAATTGTGACTCTGGTTTATGTTTCTCTCTCTGCAGGAGTTTATTGAAACTGATGAAGAAATGGACCCATCCTTTGTAATTGATAGTGACCAAGAGCTGGAAAATGAGATGCTTGAGGTTAGCATTAGATGTATTTAATATTATTTAATATCTTAACTTTGCAAGTGATAAATATAACTATTGTTACATCAGCCAACAGTACCGATACGTTTATGAAATTCTCCATTGATTCTTTTTTTCTCTCTTTTACTTGGTTAGGTGTTTTCAATGTTGTTTCTAATTGCTAGCCTTAGGGGCAGGAGTCAATATATTCTCAGAAGTGGAATGTCTTCTACGACATTCCGCTGTCCCTCACCGACAGATTGACTGTGCATTGCTTACCAATTACTGTGCCAAACTTGGATGGTTTTGTAAATCTCATGCAAGATTTAGTGATTTGCATTTTATGAATGCATTAAAGTGATTTGACGTGGCTATGGTGCTTGGAGTCAGTATGTGCAGTGTTTCGCTATGAAACACTGCACGTTAAGAATTTTATCCCTTTGTTGCTGGAAATTGTAACTCCAGCAGCAATCATTAAGGGGTCATATGGCAGCCAGGGCAAGCGTTCCGGGCTGGCTAATGTCAATTCTGTGCATATTTCAATGCCTAGATCAATCATTTGCTGAGAGTAATCACCTGATGCTCTCAGCCAATGAATGAATGTCACAATCGGCATCCGGGCTCTGCAGATGTCTGATATCGTAAGCCTGCTGCAGAGGAGACCAAGGTACAAAATGGTATGTCCCATTACCGGGAGATGGCACCATGATATGCTCTGTAGTCATTGTGATGCCTGGAGTAACCCATTAAAGATTGAAATTCATAAGGAAAATTCCCCCAGCCTACCTCCCTGGATTAACCTGTAGGTTTGCTTATAGTGCTCCAAGTTGATTTTCTTCAAGTGCATCCAGGTCCACATTTATGTCTTACGTGTGGGCACCAAATTTCTGATACAGTACATTACTCACTCATTTATCAAAAGGACATTGCAGGCATAACCTGATAATTGCACCTTTATTTATTTAAGTATTCATGGTTGTATTCTTGCAATCTGTACTCATAGTGTAGGAATGCAGCCTGTTTTTTATTTTAATTTTACTATGAGAATATGGTACTGTAAACACATTGAGTGTCAGAATTAGTGTTAAGAGTATAGGGGCAAAAACGGTTGTGTTACTGTGTTAAGGTAAGGTTGGTGGGTTTACGGTGGGTTGAGGATGTGTTTAGTGTCAGGGTTTAGGATTAGCAGGGGTTTAAAGAGACTCTCTAAGCACCAAAACCATTTCAAATTATAGAAGTGGTTTTGTTACATAAACACTGTAGTTGGTCTTTGAGCTATTGGTAGTGCTGGAGAAAAGATCTACAGAATATTTTAGATGAATGGGATTTCAGGATAGGATCTCAGTTTGGGGCACGATCATTGTACATATCCTTTTTAGAGAGTAGATGTTATTGATGGAAACAATAAAGAATATGGGAAAGATACAAAACACATAAAAATAAGTATAACAACCTGGATAAGTATACAAAATTAGATCTAGTGGAAGCTAATATAGAACAAATCGTAGGGCAGTGAAGGGGTTAACCACTAAATAGCATATAAATGACGGCAGTATATATATGATCGCCGTGGTCTGCAGACGGCTAGAAAGTCCGAAGCCCCAAGCCACCCCAAGTATTAGAATAATGTTTAAATAAATTCTCTGTGTTAAGTCGGGGCTTAACACAGGACAACCTCAGCCTCTCTAAGCAATTTCTCTGACCTCCGGTATTTTGATACTTATCTTTTGAATTAACTTAGAGAATTTATTTAAACATTATTCTAATACTTGGGGTGGCTTGGGGCTTCGTACTGTCTAGCCGTCTGCAGACCATGGCGAATATATATATATATATATATATATATATATATATATATATATATATATATATATATATATATATATAGTGTTCAAGTAGAGATTGTAGCCGTATTAGTCCAGTGATGTAGATGTAAAAAACAGATAAAATTCTTATCTTGTAATACCTTTTTTATTGGACTAACAGAATTTTTTAATGACAAGCTTGAGTCCATGTGCATGTATGTATATGTGTTTATGTATATATACATATGTTTATGCGTTCACATATACATATTTCTGTGTGTGTGCATGTATAAAGTGTATCATCCTGTGCACTGTCTGCTTGTTTGTTTTTCTTTTCCCTCTCTCCCCCCTACTCTTCTCTTCAACAAGATATTTATGACCCTCTGCTAAGATGGTGTCTATTTTCTAACAAACCTGTGTCTTATCTACACTCATGTCGCTTTAACCCCTGTATCACAACTCAACTTTGAATTCTATGTGTCGTTTTGCTCAGAAATGCTTCAGACTTGAGAAAGGGAGGTTCTCTTGTCATTAAAAAATTCTGTTAGTCCAATAAAAAAGGTATTATAAGATAAGAATTTTATCTGTTTTTTACATTTATATATATATATATATATATATATATATATATATATATATATATATATATATATATATATATATATATATATATATATATATATATATAAATATACTGCCGTCATTTATATGCTATTTAGTGGATCCACAGTTGTGTCTTGCAGGGGGCTCTTTTGTTAGGAAGCTAGTTTAGTTATTTAAATCGATAGGTGCCCTCGAAGGCACAGATGAACAACAACAATAAAACATTTACCAGAAATAACTCTTGGATCTCCCCTTTAACGTTTACTAGCACTAACAGTATTTAATTCTCCAGCGTTTGTGCAATTTTGTAAATGCTTGGAGTTTGTAAGCAGACCTGGAAAAATGCCTCTGTAAAGTATCATTCTTTCGAAAGGCATTTCACAATTTATACCGCCCTGATAAGTTATAACTGTTTAGGTGATATGTATTTCTTCCTGGGCTTATCTTTTGGATTTTAGTACTATTGTAACAGTTGCTAATGAACCTTTGTGTTTGGACAAATTGTACTTATGCTCTTCATGTTGCTACAAGCATCTTTATACTTTATTGCAACATTAACAAGTTACTTAGTCTAATTATAAAACCTGTATATCACCATACTACTAGATACTTTAATTCCCAGTGAAGATATCCCTTCCTATGGTCTGTCTTCATTGACATTCTGCCTAGGACATTTTTGTCCATTTGTTTAATACTTATTTTAAGTGAAATATATAACGTATATAAATTCCATTATCACACATTTAGGTTTCTGTTAAGTACTAGTTGTCTATTCTTAAATGTGTCTTTTTCACTTTTTTATATTCTATTATTAAAAGTTATGTTTTAAGAATAATCTAAACATAGGACAGGGTGTTTTTTCCTTTTCTACTCCTAAACCTGGATAGATAGATAGATGTAGGGTATTCTACTCATGTGCATGTTATTGATGACATATCCCTATCATTAAATGCATATTTCTTTACATGTGTTGTGATATATTTGTTACAGACCTTAGATATGCTGGACAAGAGTGAGGAAATAATCGAGGATGATATAAAGTATCTGCAGGAAGATCAGACATTTGACAAAGAAGTGATCAACGCTTTAGATGATGACGACGATGAAGGCATTGAAGAGGAGGATGAAGATGATTGGGGTATGACTATCTTTAAATTATCAAAATAAATGGTGTGCTGCACACAAATCATGTATACATTGGGGCACTGTGGAAGGGGGTCTTCCACCCACCAGGAAGTTAGTGGTCCACAGGCATCACTATTTATGGTGATACAAAAAAATATTTATTCTGGATCAAAGTTTCGTCCGTAATCTTGTAATATACATGATTAAGGCCTCACAGCTGAATAATTTTACTTTATTTTGTAATGCCTGTGAATAATTTATATTTAAAGTATCATCAATATGTCACATGCTCAGGAATATACTTGTTGGGCCACTATATTTTTATGCAGCACACAACAGTCTGTTTATTTTAGATTTTTTGCATTGAATCTATTTTAGTCTGGAGCCTTTCTGTCCAACAGCAACTAGTAGGTATGAAAATTGCAAAATGGAATGTTTCTTGGGAAAAAAAAACTGTCTGCAGCAGCAAGGCTGCTGGGGCTGCATCTACATTCTATAAATAAAATCAATTCATTACGATGAAGTAGTTTTGGTGCTTTGGCTGTCCCTTTAATGGGAATAAGAGAAGGTTTTGAATTTTTTTTTTCTTTCTGTGTTTTTGATCTGTATGCATCGGATTAAATGGAAACATGGATTTAAAAAGTTGTGTAATATTATAAACCTTTTACAAACTGCATGCTGAATGTATTTACTAAAGTGTGAATTGTCAGGAATTCCTAGTGAATTTCAAATTTAAGGCTAATAGCCAAACTGAAAACCGGTAGACTTGGAGAAGTCTGTTTGGCTGTTTTTGATTTGTTGTCCTAAAATTTAATAAAAATAAGCCCTAACCTGTTTATATAATATTGACAAAAATGTTGCTTTTCCTGTGAAATGATCTTTGTCTTTCAATTGCAAATCAATTTCAACAGTGATTAATGCCATTTGTAAACAATTACATCTTTACATTTTTAACAGATCCGTCTGTGCCTGAACCAACTCTGGACCAAATCTCGTGCTTAAAGACTTATTTTGGCCATTCAAGTTTTAAGCCGTGAGTATGTCCACATAACATTGCTGGTTATCAAGGAAATCTAGACACAAAATCTTTTCATTATAGTAGCCAACTGTATGCTACTATGTACAAAAACAGGGCATTAAATGAGCTTTCTTTTTAACCCAAATACTCTTTTCAGTTTAAAGAGTATTTTCTGTGCGGAATATGACAGAAACTTGTTTTAATTTGATTTGCCAAAGATCCCTGTCATATCAGAGTATACCATTGATACCCTAGTTTCCTACAGTTCTTACGAGAGTTGCAGAGTCAAATTTTGCAGTCTACCAAGCTCACAATTAATTTCAGCTGTTTAATCACTGATTTACTACAATTATCAAGAAGTTTAAAAGTTGTGAATTTCAATAAAAAGTAGCAAAGAGGAAATGGGATCTTGAAGGAAACTCTGAACCACATGTATGTTAGCCATGAGACTTTCTCTAATCAATATACCATAGGTTCTCAACTGTCAGCTATCAACATATTCTATAAATTTGATAGCAATTTCAGTATCACATTGTAGAGATCACATTTGCCTAACTTCCAACTTGCTGCTCCATCCTTTGAGAGAAGCTTAGTACTTTACATTTTGTGTTTGCCAATGCAGGTCGGTCTTGTATTTCTTTGTGAGTCATGGGTTGAATTGAGGTACTGTGTTTTAAACTTTGTTTTCCCCTTTAATGTATTATTTTTAGAGTTCAGTGGAAAGTCATTCATTCCGTTTTAAAAGAAAGAAGAGACAATCTTGTAGTCATGGCAACTGGTAAGTAAAACTTGTTCCCATCAAGGTGAACGTGGCATACATTCTTTTTTTAATATTTGGGTTTTTGATTTATATTTTTTCTAAAATTCCAGGAAGATGCCAAAAAGTTGTCTGTGATAATTACACTAGTTTACACATTCAACCGATAGGACTAGCTATTTCACTGCCAATGAACTGTGGGGCAATGTATTGAATATTTGCCTTTTGTAACACAGCAAGTCTTATTCAATTAAAAGATAGATGCACAGTATGAGACACTGGTTACAGTACTCACTGGTATGCAAGCTGCAGACAATCTTGAAATAAGTATCCAAGATACTTGTTGTTCAGTCTGTAAAATGTTTTTCATAGTTTTTTTTTTTTTCTTCTATATTTTTGCTGTCAAGCTGGTTGAGTTAGGAATATTACCTTACACATATAGGATACTGATAACGTGCTGTCCCTTTTCGTAAAGCACATACAGCTGTAGCTTAGTACCATGGATATGAAGCACTCCTGCTAAGAAATTAATGAGACTCATTGGTCAATGTGCGTTCAACAAAAGTCTTTACATCTACACTAAGCGTACTTAATTATCTGTAATTTATATTAAGGGGATGGGATGCACTCCAGTCATGGGTCATAGATTTGTCGATGGAGATCAGTGTTTTAATGGAGTTCGTGGCGCTAAAGGGGGAGGAAGGGGTTAATCCCTTACCTTTTTCCAGCGCCGGGCTCCCTCGGCGCTGGGACGCTCCTCCCTCCTCTTCCGTCATCGGCTGAAAGTGCATGTGCGGCAAGAGCAGCGTGCGCATTCTGCCAGTCCATAGGAAAGCATTCTCAATGCTCTCCTATGGATGCTGGCGTCTTCTCACTGTGAAAATCACAGTGAAAAGCGCGGAAGTGCCTCTAGCAGCTGTCAATGAGACAGCCACTAGAGGCTGGATTAACCCATATGTAAACATAGTTTCTCTGAAACTGCTATGTTTACAGAAAAAAACCTAGTTAAAAACCCTGGTTAAACCTTGCTGGACCTGGCACCCAGACCACTTCATTAAGCTGAAGTGGTCTGGGTGCCTATAGTGGTCCTTTAAGTTCCAATTAGAGAGATAAATAGAGGATTATTTATATTATTGAGATTTGTTTTTCTTTCCTTTGTAGGCTATGGAAAGAGTTTGTGTTACCAGTTTGCCCCTGTTTATACTTGTGGCATTGGCATTGTGATTTGTCCCCTTATTTCTCTGATGGAAGACCAGGTGTTGCAGCTTGAGTAAGTAATACATTTGATTCTTGCACAGATTTATTTTTTGAAAGTGATACTTTGAGTACTTTATGCCACCAATGATTCTTTTATTTAGGTTTTAATGGAAGTAACTTTGTATATCTCTCACCATCTAGCTTTTTATAGCTTCAGTAACTTGCTTCCCCTGACCATGCAAGATCATGTACATAATGTACAAATCCATAATGAGAAATGTGGGTTATTTTACAGATTTCTGAAGATCCTGAACCACAACAGCTGGTATCTTCACTTAAATAAAAAATTAAAGGACCATTATAGGCACCCAGACCACTTCAGCTTAATGAAGTGGTCTGGGTGTCAGGTCCATCTAGGAAAAACCTTGCAGCTGTAAACATAGCAGTTTCAGAGAAACTGCTATGTTTACAAATGGGTTAATCCAGCCCTTTAGTGGCTGTCTCATTGACTGCCGCTAGAGGCGCTTCCGCGCTTCTCACTGGGATTTTCACAGTGAGAAGACTCCAGTGTCCATTGAAAGTGCTTTCCTATGGAGTGGCTGAATGTGCGCGCATGCTCATTCAGCCGATGACGACCAAAGGAGGAGGAGAGTCCCCAGCGCCGAGGGAGCCCGGCACTGGAGAAAGGTGAGTGTTTAACCCTCTTTCTCCCCCTTCAGCCCGGCGGGAGTGGGACCCTGAGGGTGGGGGCACGAGTTTGTTTTCCTGGCATGATAGTGGTCCTTTGAATACAGATTAGGGAACCACACACACATACATACAATACAGTTTTCCATAGTAACAGGCTACTTACCCATCAAAAAATAAATTGTCCCCTTTTTTACTATGAAAAATGTATTAATTAATTTAAAATGAATAGAAGCTGGGCTGCAGACACTATTAACTTACGAAGTAGGTTTATTTTTTTATTTTTTTCCCCATAATGCATTGATGTGGGTTGTATCTTGCCTGTAATGCACCTTGAATAATTCCCAATGGTTGCTGATTACTTCTACTTGGCCTGTCTCATAATTTGTTTTGTGGTCAAAGCCTCATTTTATGGCCTTTTACTCTAAGTAACCTTCTATACTGAACAGTGTACTCTGTCAACAAGTACACAAACAACAGGTGTGTGCATTATATACTCACCTTTATGCTTATTCTCAGAATATATAGGATCAGAAATATGCTGTATAATTATATTACCTAAAATATCTTTAAAGGAACATTATAGAGTCAGGAACACAAATTGTATTCCTGACCATTGTAGTGTTAAAAATACTATCTAGCCCCCTTTCCCCCCTTGATATAGTAAGACTTTATTCCAGTCTGTTGCTGGCTCTGGTTCTCATTTTCCTTCTTAGCTGACATCATCAGAAGTGATGATCTCAGTCAATCACTATGCTTTCCCATAGGAAAGCATTGGATTGGCTAAGATTGGTAATTTTGGAGGATTTCAGCCAAGTATGCGGGCCGGGGGGCAGAGCCAAATACTGCCCTGTCTGATCTGCTTCTCCTCATAGAGATGCATTGAATCAGTGCATCTCTATGAGGAAAGTTCAGTGTCTCCATGATGAGGGTTGAAACACTGAATGTCAGTGCTGCACACTGTGCAGCACTGATGCAGGAAGCACCTCTAGTAGCCATCTGAGGAGTGGCCATCGGAGGTGTCCCTACGCTGTAACGTAAACACTGCATTTTCTCTGAATACACAGTGTTGACAATAAAATGCCTGCAAGGACTGACTACACTCACCAGAACAACTACATTAAGCGGTAGTTGTTCTCGTGAGTATAGTGTCCCTCTAAGTAGCATATTTGACATTTGGGCACACATCACATTTTCGTTTCTATTTCCTAGTCTTGTTATCGGATCAAATTCCCTTCTGAATTTTTCAAGTTGATAATAATGAAGAACCTAAAGCAAAACTTTTGAAGTAGTTACTGTTGTTTCAGTGCGTTGAATGAGTCGTGTATTATCCAGGTCATTAATCTCATCATTAACAGTAATATCTTCAATTAGTATTGCTAAGAATTAATCTCACTTCTGCCCGCTGTGAATCAGACACTCTCGTATTTTATTTTTTGTTTCTTTTTTTTTTTTTTTACGCACAGAACTTTTTTGTCTGCTCCCATTAACATTATATGTTTGTCCCTCCTTTCCCTTTCTTTTATTTGGCAGGATGTCAAACATTCGTTCTTGTTTTGTTGGGTCTGCACAGTCAAAAAATGTTATGCATGACATCAAGGCGTAAGTAAAGTTGTGAAATGTTTTGTAAAATGTATTATAGCCCGTGAAGAATAATATAGTCATCACTGAGGTATCCCTAATCCTGGGGTACCCAATATTACCCAATATTACATCTTATCCTCTCAACTCGACTACAAGTCTTTGTGTATGATAGGTGCCTTCTGTACTTATTGCTGAATGTGGAAAATAATTTTTAAATGTTTTTCAACCTAGAAAAGCACAATCAATTTAAAAGCCAACTTTTTGGAATTGATACCACATCTAAAAACACTGTGGCATTAAAAAGGTTTTTTTTTCTTCTATTTTTTTTTTTTTCAATCTTATTAGTAAATCAATTCTTATAAAATTACATTTGTATGCTTATTTTTTTTTGTTTTACGACTTTAGCATTATATATTAAAATGACAGAATTATGAGTGTTTATTCTGGATATAATTCTGCTCCTTACATGTTTTAATTGACTTCAATGCTATTTCCCCTCCTTTCTTAAAAATAGGTTCTCAGATTCATTGACAGGTCACTTTTAAAATATCTGCTCCCCACGTTTTTCCCACTGGAGTAATTACCAATGTGCACCTGGCTTTCTCTTGATAGGCACAATTTATAGATATATTTAAGTGTGAGCATGCAGATTAGATTAATTTCTGTCCTGGGATATACTGAAGGAAGGTTATCAGATTTCCCCTTCAACTGGGGATACTGATGGAAAATGTGTAATGCAGCTCTATTTTATAATTATTCTACTACTTGATATACCTTGATTTATGAATCATTGGATGAAGGAATGATCTGTACTTTCATTCCAGGGTATCTGAACACCTATATATAGCACAGCTATAGTACTGGAGTGAAAGTACATCAGATTATATTGAATATGTAATTATACTTCCATAGATCCTAAAGATGAGTTTCAAAAGTTAGGATTTACATTTTCAAAGCTTTATAAATTGTCTAAAAAATACTTGTCAGTCAGAGATTTAAAGGACTACTGTGACACTGATGTTGTTGACAAACCTAACAACTCAAAAAGTTAGCTTTTTTTTTTTAAATGTATTTATTTTTATTATTGCATGCCAAGACAGAATAGTCAAAACATATAGTGCAAATTAATTTAATCCCCATGATGCCATGCATATTAGTGGGTAAGAGTACTTTCGAAGGAATGCTGAGCATGTGTGTGCGGGTACTGTGTTCTGGAAGCAGGTTGTTTTGGCATGCATAAGTGTGCTCAGGGTGTCTCACATTGATGATGTCACCATGGAGATGAAATGGGAATGGAAGTAAATGTAATCCATACTCACTCCTCCACCTCCCCCCACCCCTTGCACCCAGCAACCCAGTAAATATGTCTGTTCCTTAAACTGGATCGATGGATTGTAGCTATCTGTCACGTTCAGTGAAGTGGCCATTATTCTTTCATCCAGCATTTCTTAGCACGAGTGGAGCTGCTCTGAAAAGTGATAGAAGGTATATTGTGGCAGCTATCTTTTTTTACACACATCCTGGCTGTATCACTGTTTTTGTTCAGCCTAGCTTGCCCATGCATACTTCATTAAAAAAAAAGTCTGGATGACGACTTCTTTTGCTGCCATTGCTCTCTGTTTGAAGTGGTTTTGTCACCTAAAACTTACCTTTCTCCTATTGTTTCCTCTTCTATTTGTAATTTAGGATGTTCTTTTTTTTTTCTTTATTTCTGATCTAGTTCTCTTTAAATCATAAGACAAACTCGGGACTTCTTTGTTTTATGTGTTTTTCCTACACTTTGCAATCTGGACAAAAAGTGGAGCCAGTGGCGTACATAGCAGGGTCGCAGGGGTCGCGGCTGTGACCGGGCCCGGCCCACCAGGGGGCCTGGCCGCCCCTGCGACCCGGTATGTACCCACAGGGCCACCCTCTTCCCCTGGGGGGCCCAGGAGCCGACCACCCCAGGGCCCCCCGAGGCTGGCCCTGCTGACACCCAGAAGGCGGGTGGCCGGTCGGGCAGGCGGGCGCGCGAGGGAGCACTCAGTACTTCCTCTTCAGCTCCCTCGCGCACCGCACTGATACCGGAGCCGGAAGATGCCGGCATCCCTACGCGGCGCGCGAGGGAGCTGAAGAGGAAGCACTGAGTGCTCCCTCGCGGGCCCGCCTTCCCGACCGGCCACTCGCCTTCCGGGTGACAGCATGGCCACTGGACCCCAGGGAATCCCCCCAGCACTCCAAAAGGTAAGGAGGCTGGGGGGGATTACATTTAAAAAAAAAAAAAAAAACGTGTTAGAGTGAGTGTTAGAGTGAGTGTGAGTGTGTGTGTTAGTGAGTGTGAGTGTGTGTGTCTGCTAGTGAGTGGTAGTGTGTGTGTCTGCTAGTGAGTGTTAGTGTGTGTGTCTGGTAGTGAGTGTTAGTGTGAGTGTTAGTGTGTGTGTCTGGTAGTGAGTGTCAGTGAGTGTGTTAGTGTGTGTGTCTGGTAGTGAGTGTCAGTGAGTGTGTTAGTGTGTGTGTCTGGTAGTGAGTGTCAGTGAGTGTGTTAGTGTGTGTGTCTTACTGAGTGTATGTTTTGTAAGTGAGTGTGTATGTATGTCTGTCGCTGAGTGTGTCTCTGTCAGTAAATGTGTGTCTGTTAGCTAGTGTGTATGCGTCTGTAAGTGTGTGTGTGTGTGTGTGTGTGTGTCTTCAGCACCTACCTTTCTCCAGCGCCGGACTCCCTTGGCGCTGGGGATCCCTCAGCCTCTCAGCTCCGAATGCGACCGCGCACGCGTTCAAACCGCCTATAGGAAAGCATTACTCAATGCTTTCCTATGGACGTTCAGTGTGCTCCTCTAGAGGCTGTCAGTGAGACAGCCACTAGAGGCTGGATTAACCCTCAGTGAAACATAGCAGTTTCTCTGAAACTGCTATGTTTTCAGCTGCAGGGTTAAAACTAGAGGGACCTGACACCCAGACAACTTCATTGATCTGGGTGTCTGTAGTGGTCCTTTAACCCCTTAAGGACCAAACTTCTGGAATAAAAGGGAATCATGACATGTCAGACATGTCATATGTCCTTAAGGGGTTAAGTGTGTGTGCATCTGCATGCACTGGCGTACATACCGCGGTCGCAGGGATCGCAGCCCTGTAACCCCTGCGACCAGGTGCCCACTGCCATGTGTTGCGGCCCGGCCCGCGTGCGGGGGAGGGCCCACGGATCAATTTTCGCACCGGGCCCCATGGGTCATGTGTACGCCACTGAGTGGAGCTAAGCTCCATCATTTTGTTACAATTGTCAGTCCCTACTTACTCATATTTTAAAGAGAAATAGATCAGAAATCAAAAACAAAAGAAGAGATTCTGAAAGTGGAAACAATAGGAGAAGGGTGCGTTATAAAGCCACTTTATATTTGCATACATTTTGCAGATGGTTTGTCTCTGATTTTCAAGCAGTCTCCTATGCATATATAGATACCAATCATGTTCTTAATCACATGAGTATTTTAACGATTTGCGCTAGTAAATTTATTTTATTTTACATTTTTCAAATAGTCAAGATTTTTGTTTAATCACTTCCATCACAGTCTTCCACTTGGCTACAGCAACATCCTTTTGTTTGGTTCCTTTGAAATGTTTCAGTATTGCTCATTCAGTATTAATTTTCTTTGAGTGCCATCATATTCCAAATAGTGGTATGTTCGTTCTATAAAAAACACAAACTGTTGATCTACTTATGAAAAATGTAGTTGACTTTTAAATCTCAAAATAAAATGTAGTCCTTACTTTGACTTAAAGGAACACCATAGTCACCTAAATTACTTTGGCTAAATAAAGCAGTTTTAGTGTATAGATCATTCCCCTGCAATTTCACTGCTTAATTCACTGTCATTTAGGAGTTAAATCACTTTGTTTCTGTTTATGCAGCCCTAGCCACACCTCCCCTGGCTATGATTGACAGAGCCTGCATGAAAAAACTGGTTTCACTTTCAAACAGATGTAATTTACCTTAAATAATTGTATCTCAATCTCTAAATTGAACTTTAATCACATACAGGAGGCTCTTGCAGGGTCTAGCAAGCTATTAACATAGCAGGGGATAAGAAAATATTAATTAAACAGAACTTGCAATAAAGAAAGCCTAAATAGGGCTCTCTTTACAGGAAGTATTTATGGAAGGCTGTGCAAGTCACATGCAGGGAGGTGTGACTAGGGTTCATAAACAAAGGGATTTAACTCCTAAATGGCAGAGGATTGAGCAGTGAGGCTGCAGGGACATGTTCTATACACCAAAACTGCTTCATTAAGCTAAAGTTGTTCAGGTGACTATAGTGTCCCTTTAAAGGGCTTTCAGTAAACCTGCAGCATCTACTGCTGATTACAACCCCTCAAATGCTTCACTAACTCCAGCTAGCTCTATTTCTTTGTGTTTGCTTAAGCTACATGTAATATTACCTTGTTGCATGTCTTGTTTTCTTTTTCTTTTTTCTTTTTTATATGTTTTATATAGGATATTTATTCTGTGCTTTCAGGGACACATGAATACTTTCTTACTTCCTCAGAAACGTGGACTTTTTAGCCATTTTGCCAATGACATATTTTATTGCATTTATTATTATTATTATTATTTTATTATTTATATAGCACCATCAGATTCCGTAGTGCCGTATGCACTGCCTTGGTCATATGTATAGCAAGTGGCGGTAAAATCAATTGCAATGTAGTAAACGTGCAATTTGAAAAAGACATACCAATTCTATTGTATACGCTGATAAAGGCTGTGTTCATTGTATTTCTCATTTTATTTACCAGAGGCAAGTTTAAAGTCATTTATATGACTCCCGAGTTCTGCTCCAGTGGATTGTCCCTTCTTGAGGATCTGAACGACAAATATGGTAGGCACTTCAGACATTTTTATATTTTAATTTGTCTGATATATTTGTGTTGGATACATATCATGCAAGCACATGGAGTTCAAAGCTAAGTATTTTCTTGTAAGAAGAACTGGCTCATATGCTTACCAGTGTGCGTCTTGTGTCCTAGGAAGTTTGAAGCTTCTTGTCTAAAGACCTACTTGTTTTATAAATGTGTCTCGTAAAGGACCACTATAGTGCCAGGAAAACAAATTTGTTTTCCTGGCACTATAGTGCCCTGAGGGTGCCCCCACCCTCAGGGTCCATCTCCCGCCGGGCTGAAGGGGGAGCAAGGGGGTTAAACACTCACCTGGGGACTCTCCTCCTCCTCCTCCTTCGGTCGTCATCGGCTGAATGCGCATGCGCGGCAAGAGCCGCGCGCGCATTCAGCCAGTCCATAGGAAAGCATTCTCAATGCTTTCCTATGGACGCTGGCATCTTCTCACTGTGAAAATCACAGTGAGAAGCGCGGAAGCGCCTCTAGCGGCTGTCACAGAGACAGCCACTAGAGACTGGATTAACCCATATGTAAACAGGGTTAATCCTAGATGGACCTGGCACGCAGACCTTCATTGAGCTGAAGTGGTCTGGGTGCCTATAGTGGTCTAAGCTGTCCACTACTGTAGCTTGTTGTGGGCTAATTACCCATAAGTAACTGTCCACTACTGTAGCTTGTTGGTGGCAGTTTAATTACCCACGTGTAACTTTAGCTACATAAGCAGGTATGTAGAGTAGAATATAAACAAGAGAAAAAAGCCATTGTGACTGCAGTGTGCTAGTAACTTGTCTGGGACAGGGGAAACCCAAGTGCCAAAATAAGTTAGGCGCAATGTTTAGGTTAAGTTACCATTATGTTGTTTTTATATTGTTTTGTTTTTTAATATAAAATTCGTTTTTTTTTCCCCACTAGCATTTCCTTCCTATCCACTTCTAACCTGCAGAATTGTTCTTCTTTGTTCTGTAAATACTGTTCTACACAATGTTTCTGGGAGCTTCTATTTAACATTTAACAATCTGAATATCTGTCCAGAATTGCTTATGGACTCCCAGAGTAAATTATCTATACTTATCCATATCTGTCTCTTGCTCTCCTAAAAATCTTTTCTGATGTAATGGTTGTTGAGAAACCTTCCGTTGTGTGCATCTCATCTATAGCAATTGGTGCTGTGGACTCCACTCTCACCTCCAGTTCTGCTACTTTTCCACCTTGTTTGGTGGCTGTCACCCTTACTGCCCTATGGTGTTTTTGTACCCCACCTCCTATAGACCATAAACTCTTTTGAGCAGGGTCCTCATCTACCTATTGTTCCTGTGTCACTGTGTAATTGTCTCATAATTGTAAGCGTGGCTAAATCGACATTGACCCCTTTTGGCACAGCTGAACTGATGAGAAAGAATTATTGTCCTCCAAACACTTGTGCGGATAATGCGAGAGTGGCACTTTTTAAAATGAATTTTTTAGAACTAATTATTAGAATTGTTTAAATATTTCTGATGTTGTTTGATGTATACATACATATTTATATTTGTTACTTTTGAGATGCTCAAAATATTTTCAAATTTTGTGATGTATCATAATAAGTGTATAAGAGTTTGCAGACATATCTATCTTCTAATAAACATTTGCCAAAAAAGATGTTTTGATTGACAAGTCTTATAGGGACACTATAGTCTCCAAAGTGACTACATATCTGTGTTCCTGACCCTATAGTGCTAAAGCCACCATTTAGGTGGCTTGCCCCCACTTAGTTTGCCTATAAAAGTTTTTAAAACTCACCTTATTTCCAGCGCCGCGCGGGTCCTCCGGCGCTGGCTCTGCCCCCTTTGTGACATCAAAATGGCCGATTTTTAGCCAATCCAATGCTTTCCCATAGGAACAAATCGGCATGGGGCGGGGCCAAATGCTGTTTTGGCCATTAGGACCTACTCATAGAGATGCATTGAATCCTTGCATCTCTATGAGGAAAATTCAGCGTCTCCATGCAGAGCGTGGGGACGCTGAACGGCAGGGCTGCTTACTGTGCAGCCCTAAGCCAGGAAGCCCCTCCAGTGGCCATCTAAGGAGTGGCCACTTGGAGGTGTCCCTAGAGGCAATGTAAACACTGCCTTTTTAGGCAGTGTTTACATGAAAATGCCTGAAGGCAATGATTACACTCACCAGAACAACTACATTAAGCTGTAGTTGTTTTGATGACTATAGTGTCCCTTTAATGTAGTTGTTCTGGTGAGTATAGTCAGGCCCTGCAGGTTTTTTTTTAAATTCTTTATTTTAGGCATGCAGTGATAAGTATAAGCTTGTCAAGCTAGGCCACAGGTTCGGATGGTGTCAATTTGCTGTGAAACTGAACGATTCAGGCATCTCTGAGTCACCTCTCATTTTAGCGCATTCCACAATTCGTGTGCGTTTGTAGTAGAGGCTGTTAGGAGCTAATAAGTCCCGTTTTGTGCTCGATCGTGTCGGAGCTATGAGAGGATACGTCCTACCATCTTGGCTGTCAGGCCCAGCCCCCCACAGGGTTTTTAATGTCAACACTGCCTTTTCAGTGCATTGTTTTCATTGCTCCCTAGGGACACCTCCAGTGGCAGTCACTTAGACAGCCACTAGAGGTACGTCCGGGGTCGTAAATCACCTTTCTCATCCGAAGTAATGGGAGCCGGGGCCTAAACCGTTATTTAGACATACAGTTTCAGTAATACACGTTTGTATTCCTGACACTATAGTGTTCCTTTTAGCTATAGACCATTCACACCTACACCTATGGATTGATAGTACGCCATTCAGTTTCAACAATAATCGAACTTAGAGATATTGATATGTGTTTTATTCCGATAGTTTAAAAATATTTCTACTAATTAATCTGTAGGTATCACATTGATCGCAATAGATGAAGCGCACTGCATTTCTGAATGGGGCCATGATTTCAGAAGTGCATATCGAAATTTGGGATCTCTTAAAAGAACACTGCCCTCGGTAAGAGCTGCCTTTCCTTCTCTGTTGCTATCCCATTGCGAGTCAGGAAATGTAATATAAACATTAATAGTAGGTCTTTATCTGCTTTGCAAATCTTTATTTTTAATTTCTCGTAGATGTTCATTGAATATCTTTCTATCAGTTTTGCCAATTTTAAAGGAATAATGTCAGAAATATTTTTTTTCTGAAAATTTAACTAGGAAGTAGAAGCTGACTTCTTGAGTCTTGAGAAGCATGGGTTTTAACAAAATATTTTTCAATCTGTACCTCTTCAGGTGCCCATTGTAGCTTTGACAGCAACGGCAAGCCCTTCAATCCGTGACGACATAACGAGGTCCCTCAATTTGCGCAATCCACAAATCACCTGCACTAGTTTTGATCGGCCAAACCTATACCTTGATGTAGGACGTAAAACCTCTAATATCAGCAAGGATCTGCAACAATTTCTTGTTAAAAAGAAAGGGTAAGGCTACTTTGAGTAATGATGGTTTTCTGTAATTATATATATATTACAGCTAGGGCAGAATACATGTTAGCGCTGTCTTTGTGCTATTTTTCATGCTGTATTACAGCGAGATGTCCTGATCAAGCAATAAAGGTACTTGTTGAAATTTTAATGCTGATAGGAGTTGGAAATATTATTAGTTTTTGTTTGTTTGTTCATAGCAGGAGGAGAAAGCTGCTACCGACTCTCAGCACAGCTGTTTTGCTTCAATAAAAGCCGTGTTAATAAGATTTGACCTTCAGCGGTTATAACTATTTCTCCAGTTAATCCAATAGCTGTGTTTTTGATGGGTCAGATTACTTCTTTTCTCATTACTTTCCATTACCATGCAGTAATGGAAATGTTAGAAATTGGGATTGGTTATGGCTTTGCGAAGGCGAATCTGAGTCTGAACCTCTGCTGTACTGAATTCTGGACCGTACTGATGACAGTGGCATATGTATGAGATTTAATGCAATATAGAAATGAATCATCCCTAGGCACTTTGTAACTCAAGAGTGGCCAACAGATATCCATCTGGCAGGCAATGCATTGTGGGGCTTGTAGTCCTGCAACAGCTGGATGGCTGTTTTTAGTCATACATGCTCCCTGACTGTTATATAATGCATTATCCTTGGAATTCTATTTTGGATCCCATGTTGAAGGGTTGGCAGTATGGCAAGCTGGTGGAAGCTGCACCTAATCTTGTATGGAGGTGTTTGTTGTTTTGCTGTTGTTTTGTGGGTGTTATCCTTTCCACTACCTGTTTCTACTTTTGTAACTGTGGGTTAATGTTTGTGTAGTGTTCTCTCTAAGGTGGAAAAAAAAATGCAATTGAGAAATAGTACATAAAACTCCAAATCCAATTTCAGCATCACTGCCTAAGTCTGTTTGAATTTATTTCCTGCCACAATGATTTAATGTACCTGCTGGGTTCAGCTCTAGAAAATCTTGCAGCCAGAGGAAAAGCATTGGGTCAGATGATGACACAGCTGCATTTTCTCACTGACTGGGTTCATTCCATTAAATCATTCTGGTTTGCTGTATACAGATTGGCGACTTACACACGCTATAAAGGAGAAATTACTCACATTGTAACATATTTTACAACAGAAGCTTTTACATTACTGTTAAATCAGTGGTTCTGATACTAGAATTATTTTTGTTTCCCCCACTTGGCTCTGTTCTGAAGAGCTTACTATCTAACGTTAGAGCCGAGCTGCAAACAGGCAGATCTCCCCTAGGAAGCCCTATTTTCCTCCAACATCTATCAAGTTTCATTCAGGGTAGGAAAATACACAGATGTTGTCACAGATGGTTAGAGCTCAGGGTCCAAACAAAAAAAAAATAAGTTAATGTTAATAATTTCTCTGAGGACTCCACCACGTATCATATCATTTTACCAAACATATCATTAGTAGTAAAATGAGTCTGAGGACGCTGTCTACAAATTTTCATGCTGGTAATTGGCATAATCTGTATACTCAACGGCTGCCTGTAGATGTTGAGTTTTTGTGTGTTTGTCCTGCAAACCGGATTTAGAAATCTTCCATGATATGCTGCATAATCTCCCGGAGCAATACTTGGTTCTCAGGGCAACTCGAGATGAGGAATAAGAGCAAAAAATAACAGTATACACTTTAAAGTAATTCAACTCTACTATCTTTCACTTCTAATTATTGGTTTCCAGTTTTGGTTTAAGAATAACAATTATTTATATAGTGCTGGAAATTCTGCAGTTCAGTTCAATAAATGTACATTCTGTTAAATGCAGAGGGTTGTATAGTGCAATTTCCAATGAGTTCTGAATTCTGGCCTGCTATATTCTTGAATTATTCTTTTAATATCAAAAACCATTTTCTTTATTTTTACGTTGTGCTGGCCAAATTGTAAGCCAACAGAGATGAATAAATCGCGACTTCTTAAGGGGAGCAGTCATTTCACAGAATTTTTAATATGTTTACTCATTCCTGTCATAGAGATTTATGAAGTGTGATAAAAATAAAATTAAATGTTGAAATCTGTACCTTTTTATCCTGCAACGGAGCATCTCCATCTTCAGCTCCCTGTCAGTCATTGTTATAAGCTCTGTCCCTTGCACCTCTTCGTCAGCATTGAGAAAGTATACAGAATAGCGTAGAAAATAAACAATGTTTCCATTTCCCCTCTTGATTTGCAATGTGACCCCTGTCTCTGTGTTGCCTGAACTTAATAACTAAACCTAAAGGAACACTACAAACACTGATAACCACTACTGCCCGCTGTTGTAGTTTATGGTGCCCAGAGTACCCTGGTAAGCCTGTATCCCTGCCACTCACCCCTCCTTTGTAACCCGGGGTTCACTGGGCACTGCTTACTGCTTCTACTTCTTTAGAGAGTCGAAAGCTCCAATGCAGGGGCTTCTGTTAGCTCTACTTGGCTGAGCCACTTTTGTTTCTGCTTATGCAGCCCAGGTTGTGACTCACACAGCCTGCATGAAAACAATGGTTTTACTTTCAATCAGATGTTAACTTGCTTTAGACATTTTTGTCACCTGCTCTGTAAATTGAACTTTAATCACACACAGGAGACTCCTGCAGGGTAAATAAGGCTATTAACAGAGCAGGAGATAATACATTTCAAACAGAATGTGCACAGCAGGAACAACTTCTTTTCAGGATGTGTTAAGGAATGCTGTGTAAATCACACACAGGGAGGTGTGCCCGTGGCTGCATAAACTAAGTGATTTAACTCCCAAATGGCAGACAATTGAGCAGTGGTACTGCAGGTGCATGATCTACACACCAAGTTGTATTGGTGCCTATATTGCCCCCTTAACCTGAATAAGAGGATACTGATTGTTGAGCCTCTTCCTGGTGAGGGTGGGTCTCTCTGCTACTGAGTCTTGGTGTGGAATTGCCAGTAGCTTTAAGAAACTTAAAAATAATGTGTTGTTTTTTTTTTCATTTATTCTATTTATGTTTACAATACCTGCACGATGATTAAAAATTAGTTACTTTTTGACCACATAGTTTACTAATACCAGGTAGCTACATGTGGCTACCTTATTCCTTCTCCCGGTAGACATTTAATGTGAGGACTCCCAGGACCACCTAATAACCTGAAGATAGCACTGGACATCCTCCTGTCTTCTCCTTGCAATGTGTGTGGCTGACAGAGTTAATATAACAGTGATTAGGTCAGTGTCAGCCCATATATCTGTACATTTCTTCCATAAACAGTACCATGGATTACTCCAATACAGTACCCATAAACAAAATTCATTTTGTCCCTTTTCCTTTCAAGGCCCCATGCCTAACGTAGCATGTGATGTCACTCTTGGAAGGGAATGGTCTGAAAGATTAAGTATTTAAAACATTTTAATAACATGTGCGGTATGATCGGAGCAGTGGAGATCCTTGCACTCTATGCAAGAAAGCAGCTCCTTTAATAATGACAATGTTCTATAGCTTTTGTCCCCTTGATATTCTAAGGGGTTGTTTGCAAAGAGGATTTCTGGGGTAAGTTAGAGCAGTGTGCAGGAAAACAATTAATTGGTTTCCGTAGCGATGCTCTACTTTTAGAGTTTTTTCCAGAGTTGCTCTGAATGCTTTTCGTATAGCTAGAATTAAACAATTACAAGGGCAAAAAAAGAAATAAAATGAAATCTCTGAGAAAAATATATGAATTCTGGGTGAATTTCTACTTGTCCGCACTCAATATTTTGTTGCCAATGGCTCGCCAGCAAGTAGAAATTTTGACCCCTTGTCTCCAGTGACATGATTTATTTGAAATAAAAAAAAGTCAGGGGGTTTCGAGAGAAGATTAGCCAATCACTTGGAAAATTGAGTTTGCTTTAGTTTAAATAATACGTTACACAAGTATGATGTGTGGGTGTTCGTTTCTGTAGGTCTGGCTGGGAGTTTGAAGGAGCTACAATTGTTTACTGCCCTTCCCGGAAGACATCTGAGCAAGTTACAGCAGAGCTGCTTAAACTGGGCATTAAATGTGGCACTTACCATGCCGGCATGGGGATCAAAGCAAGGAGGGAAATACATCATCGGTTCATGAGGGATGAACTCCAGGTAAGGTCACAGATCTCACAGAATCTCAACATTCTGTCTACAAAGCCCGGATCTCTGATCAACCAGTGAATAAAGCCCATTTACTCTTTTTTTAAATTAAATTTATATTCATTTTATTTTCTATTAATGGTATAAAGAAAGAAATGTAGAAAATGCAAGGAGAATGTAGGTGTTCAATAAGGAAGTTTTATAGAAACGGTGACACATACGTGTGATTATAAATCGCATCTTCATTGGTAGTTTCCAGCTAACTGGATTAATGTGATCATTGTAATTGTGAGGAATGCATACTTGCAAGGTAATGCGCTAAACTCCGAATGTCCCCACACCCAAAGGGTCAAAACTGTCTGGCGCTGTACAGGGCCATTCGCAATGTAAAATCCATACGTTGTTTACACTTTTTAACAATGTCTGAATTTTGCAGAGCAGGCTCCAAACGAGCCTGAATTTGGTCCATAGTTTAGCGAGACTGAACGCTACCAGACAGCTGAAATCTTGACCCAGATGCTTCAAAGAAATCTGAACTATCTGCATGCTGAACTGGGAGCCAGCAGGCAAATAGTTAAACAAAAAAAAACCTCTGTGGTGTAAGGGTTCCTGTGGCAACTGGCCAGCACTTGATAGCCAGCCAACACACAAGAAAAAGTGTAAAATTAAATAAATAAAATGCCTATGAGGGTCAATATGACTCCCATATTATTACAGGGAAGGTTAAAAACCTCCCTTATGCCCCTACCTAACAATATATGCTTTAATTAGCTTTAATTAACATATGCTTTAAAGGGAAACTATAGTGCCAGGAAAACAAACTTGTTTTCTTGGCACTCTAGCTTCCCCCTCAGTCAAGGCCACTCTTCACCCCCCCCACGCCCCCCCCGTGTTGCAGAAGGGGTTAGAAACCCTTTCTGTCACTTACATTGGTTCAGCACTGATGTCCCTCAGTGCTGTCTCGGGGCCAACTTCACTCCTCCCCTGCCGACGTCAGCCACTGGAGAAGACCTAGTGCACGTGCGCGGCAATGGCCGCACTCACATTAAGATTTCCCAATAAGGTTTATGGTGACGCTGGAAGTCCTCATAAATAGGCCGGTGAGATAGCTCAGTTGGTCATGAGTAGAATCTGTTTAACCCTTGGGTCGCAGGTTCAAATCCCGGCAGGGTTGACTCAGCCCTTTATCCTTCCGAGGTAGATAAATTGGGTAATAGTAACAACCCCTGGATGTTGGGCTAAGGTAACATCCCCAGGTCGTACTTGAAAACCAAAGTAATCTGAATGTACCTTTCCTGGTTTAATACTTTGTTGTTATTTTCATTATTATAAATAGCGCAAGGACATCCAGTGTCATTTAGGCGACCAAAAGTCGGATAACCACCTAGAATTCCCTCTAGTGGCTGTTTGGTTGAAAGCCACTAGAGGCGGAGTTAACCATAGCAGGTAATTATTGCACTTTATTAAAAAACAAAATAATTACATGCTCAGGCTTAAGGGTGATGGGACACTGCACCCAAACGACTTCAATGAGCTGAAGTAGTCTGGATGTCTACAGTGTCCTTTTAATTAGCTTTAATAAGTATGAGCGTTTCCATTTTGGTCTGAATTCAACCATTTTCTCCGAAATCCAGTATTTAGTAAATTACCCTGCTTGTGGATTACTGTGATACCCAGTCTGCCATGGCACTTCTAGTCTGCACTGATAAGCTAAAGTGAACGTTCATAGCAATATCAACATTGTGCAACTTTAGATATTATTGGTTGTTATTGTTAGACTGTTGTGTGTTTAGGTTTATTTTTTGGATTTGTTAATGGTTAATCAGAAATAAAACACACTGCCAGACAATGTACACGAAAAGGGAAAAATGGCTGCCTTACAAATGCACACTGATATATAGTAAGAAATATAAACAGTGGACTAAGGAAAATACGACCTGCTTGTCCTGAACTGCTTGAGATTGATGGGAGTAACACTTCTGGGCATCTGCTGCTGTCATAAATTTAGTTACTACCCCATTAATGTGTTCGGAGAGGAGCTAGTCAGTCAGAACTGTGCCATTTCTGAAAGTGAATTTAAAAGTATTCAAGCTCATAGCAGAATGAGCTCATAAAGCAATAACTGGTGTTCTCATTATTATTATTTTAAATCTTATTTATAAAGCGCCAGCAAGTTCCGTAGCGCTGTACAATCGATGGACTAGCAGACACGTATTTGTAACCAGACAAGTTGGACGCACAGGAACAGTTGGATTGAAGGCCCTGCTCAATGAGCTTACATGTTAGAGGGAGTGGGGTATAGTGACACAAAAGGTAAGGGTAGGTTTAAAAAGTACGTTGCTAGGATAGTATTCGCTGAGGGCTTAGGGTTTTGTTTTGATGACAGTTGCAGGAGAGGAATCAGGGTGCGGGGAGGGAAAGCTGTTCACAGTTTAATTGATATGCTTTCCTAAAGAAGTACGTTTTCAAAGTTTTCAGAGTGGAGACTGGGTGAAAATCCGAGAGGGTAAGGGCATTCCATAAGTATGGTTCAAGACGAGCATCAGACGTAGGAGCCTCGTTCATTGAGCGATTAATATAAGTTACAAAAGGGTCTTGATTCAAATAACTTACATTATAATTGTATATTTACCAATATTCCTTTTGCATTAATTGTGAAGCGCTCTTGGTAAGAGAGCTCCATCAGAACTGTTTAATAAATAAATAAGCAGTCTAGAGTATGATGCAGAATATTAACCGCTGTTTTGTTTCCCTACCAGTGTGTTGTGGCTACAGTTGCTTTTGGCATGGGCATAAACAAGGCAGACATTCGCAAAGTGATCCACTATGGGGCCCCTAAAGAAATGGAGTCATACTACCAGGAAATCGGTCGAGCTGGAAGAGATGGGCTTCCTAGTTGCTGTCATGCACTGTGGGCTCCATCAGATATGAATTTTAACAGGTGAATATATTCTGGTTCTTGTGAGTTTTGTTAAACAATATATAACTTTTCTTTCTTCAGAGAGGAAGCGCGATTGAAATCTATGACATATTTGATAGGTGTCAGACAGCCATAGCAACACCAAAATGTGACCTGATTGCCATAATTTGCCAACCCATCAGTCATTATAGATCAGAAACTATACTCTGATCTGCACATCGGTCACACACACACACTCTCCTGAAGGGTTTGTGGGATGAAGTGGGTTGGTGGGGCTGTTTACTGAACCATGATTTGCCGTCAATGCCAATGTAATGTTTTTTTAAAATGTTTATTATCTTTTCCGCCCATTTTCCTAGACACATGTTGAATGAGATACAAAACCAGCAGTTTCGGCAGTACAAATTGAAAATGTTGGGGAAGATGGAAAAATACCTAAATTCAAACAGCTGCAGGCGCAAGTATGAGTGCTTTTTGTTTTAGTCTGTTGTGTTAGTCTTAGTATGTTTGTGCCTTTGCATATGTTTATAGTATCTGCATGCCATGCTTTGGTGGCTTAAAGGGACACTATAGTCACCAGAACAACTACAGCATATTGTATTTGTTCTGGTGAGTATAATCATTCCCTTCAGGATTTTTGCAGTAAACACTGTTTTTACAGAAAAAATACAATGTTTACATTACAGCCTAGGGATAACTCCACTGACCACTCCTTAGATGGCTTACTAGATGTGCTTCCTGGGGCAGTGCTGTACAGTGTGCAGCACTGCCATTCAGTGTCCCCTCCCTTTGCATGGAGACACTGAACTTTCCCCATAGAGATGCTTTTATTCAATACATCTCTATGAGGAGATGCTGATTGGCCAGGGCTGTGTTTGGCTCTGCCACTGATCTGCCTCAGCCAATCCTATGGGAAAGCATTGTGATTGGCTCAGAATAACACTTCTGATGATGTCAGCCAAGCAGGCAGATCGGGGCAGAGCCAGCAGCTGCAGACTTGAACAAAAGTAAGATGTTACTATATTTAGGGAGGCAAGGGAAGGGGGCAGGGGGGCTAGATTGTGGTTTTAACAGTATAGGGTCAGGAGTACATGTTTGTGTTCCTGACCCTATAGTGTTCATTTAAGGAACCTGGAAATATTGATGACTTTGCTTTTATTTACTTTTTCCTCCAGATATTTAATTCCAATTGGAGCGCATATGTTAATGTAAAACTTCTTAGTAAACTCACGTGGTTTTCCCTATTGGGGAAAAAAAACATCCTATGTCTGTTTACAAAGGAAAATAATTCTTAAAAGGCTATGCAAATTACCCACAAAACTTAATCGTAATGTAGCCATTTTTGTGCATAGACCCTTTTCCTTTTCAGTGGTAATGTTAAATAGCTTTTCATTAAATATCAAAGGTCTTCATGTTCGTCATCATTATGCACAGCTTGATGACACTTAACACTAACAATGCTTCTTGTGAGCTGCAAATCGTGCAAGAATCAGCCAGCCCTTATAGAAAGTAAGATCTCTCTGACGCGCAAGTTTAGCTACTATTGCTTATGCCATGTTTGTTTCAACATTTTAATAAGGCAATTACATCACTAATGCGAACATACAATTAACCAGCGTAGTCAATATGTAACAACTGTACAACAACAAGAAAACCTTAACAACTAAAGCTGTGTTTAAACTTTAGGGCCGTTAGGTCACTGGCCTTTTATTCTTCCAGGGTAAATAAAATGAGAGCTATTGCGTTAACTAATAACACAGTAACACAGTCTCTAGAAGTTATATGTTTGAAAATGAGAAAAGATCTCCTTGTTTTCTCTGTGACAAAAACTTGTTTTAAGAATTATTTGCATAGACATAGTGTTTCCGTTTTGGTGTGGCCTGATCCTGTCTGTAATAGCTACATAGTTACTATATATAGTGCTCACATGTATATATCTTCATCCATTTTGCGTCTAGTTTGCAATATGTTTTGTTAAATCCTAAACTTACACTACTGTCTGTGAATTAAACCAAGACAAATAATTGCCTCCCCTATGATTAAATTAATGAAGATGATTTAGTGCCCCATTGTAGTCATTCAATTTAACATGTAAGTTCTTGTTCTTTTTTATTTACCCCGTTATGGTCCCTTGGGTAGAATCATCTTGTCTCATTTTGAAGACAAACAACTCCGCAAGGCCACCTCAGGCATCATGGGAACAGAAAAATGCTGTGATAACTGCAAGACCAGGTAAATACTCTTCTCCGGAGGATAAATATCAGGGCAGTTTACTATATGCCTTTGTCTACTTTTGAGTTTGGACGGTTTGCGCACATCAATAACTAGTTCCTTTAGTTTTAGTGGTGTAAATGTATCTCTGTTTGATCCACACATATAATTTGCCTCTGAAACAGGCCACATGTCAAAAATATTTTCACCCGTACTTCCTTCAAATCTAGAACTTCTCTATACTGCATACTACTGCCGAAATACCTTCTGTGCTCACTCACTGCCACTCTCCACCTCCACTACTTCAGAAAGAGAGTCTGAAGCTCTCGGTCTGAGCTATGCCTAGCAGTAGAACTTTGATCGTTTGCTGAAAAAGATCAGATGATGCCTTTAAACAATGTGTTAGCACTAAACAACAGGAAGATCTCCTTGCAGGAGATTCTGACTCTCTGTTTGAAGTATTGGGGGCATGGGAAGTGGAGGGCAATCCACAGCACTCCTGGCACCACAACCACTACAGCGTGCTTTAGTGATTGTGCTGCATGGAAGTTTCTTTAACAATTCACTCTTCATCATAGCTGTTATGGATTACATGTGTGACCAAAAGCAAACTGGAACAAAATGCAGATCCATTTGGGCTCTGTGTTCTCCCTCCTCTGTAACTGCAATGTTACACGTCTGGCTTTGAGACCACACACAACAGGAAACAAAGACACCAAACACAGTGCAGTATGAATACAGTGCAATGACTGAGAAGCAATTAATTAATTAAAAACTATTTCAATAAAAAAATAGGAATAAATGGAAAAACAAAGCTTGAACATTTACATTGTAGTTACTTTGGGCTAAACTTTCAAAGTATGGGCCAGGAGTAGCCATTCCATTAGCCCCTGTATTAATGGATCACTATTGCATTAGGTATACACACCTGTTTTCCTAATGCCATAGTACCAGAGTTGCAGGTTAGTTTTAAGTACCCCCCTTTAGTAACAACCTGGAAAAAAGGTTGTACTTAACTTTTCTTAGTGCCAGACTCTCTACCTCCTGCGATGTTCTGTTATCTCGTTATATATTTCAGGGGACCTTTATAAGGACACTCTAGGCATCAGATGGTGGATCACTACAGGTTGTGTATCATTATCCAATCTGTACATTTTCTATTTCATGTTTGTTAGTTCTATGATATCTCCAATGTTTGTAGCGTTTTCAGGTACACAGTTCGTGTGAGTCCCTCATGCTCTGATTCTCTGATAAAGTTACTTATCATAATTTGTGCTTCTTCCTATTGATCAGTATTCTTCTAACTCTTTAGTAGTGTTTTAATCAGATAAATATATCGATGAGTGACAATCTAAATAAAGGACTAATATTTAAAGGGACATTCTAGGTACCAGAACCACTACAGCTTAATGTAGTGGTTTTGTGCAAGGAGATTGTCTCTGTAGACTAAGCAATGTAAACACTGCCTTTTCTGAGAAAAACCTTGACAAAGGCCCTAAGGGGTTGAAATGTTGCTGTTTGATTCCTTGTTCCAATAAAGATTGCCTATATTTTGGAATTCGCTGGAGGGCCTGGATTATTTTCTATATCCAAGTGTTTATAATGCTGTCCTAAGCCACCTCTAGTGACTGTCACTCAGATAGGCACTAGAGGGACTTTCTGGCTGCAGTCTTGCAAAGATTGCAGAATGGGAGGTTCAGCATCTCCACGCTCTTCATTGAGTCAATGCATCTCTATAAGAATATGCCGATTGGTGCCTGTGCACTTTTCCCCTCCCCTCCCTATGGGGAAACAATGTTTTTTTTTTTGTTGTTGTTTTTTTTAGGGTTGTTCATCAGTAAAAGCACACAGTGTACAAAAGCACCTTGTATAAACAATAAGAACAGGTTCATGTACATTTATTGTACTTGTAGTGCAATAATATTGAATTCTCTGAATTATTTTATTACATGATGAGGGTAAAAAAGTCAGTGATGAGTAAAAGATAAGAAAAAAAATAGGTAAAGAGAAGTTGTCCTTGCTTGTGTTATTTATTAAATATTGTCCCTTTTGGTTTTCAATAGGTTAAAATTGAATCTTTCATTCAATGAAACAGAGGACAACCTACAAGACTTCGGACTGCTGGCTTACAAGTTGATATCAGCAGTAGATGCTTTGGGTGGGAAATTTGGAACTGGTGTACCAGTCCTGTTTCTCCGTGGATCGGTAGGTATTCATCTATTGCAAATAACATATAGTGCTGCACCTCTTATCAATACGCCTAGCAAAAATAACAGCTACGCAATGAACAGGTAGTGTAGTATAAGTTATGGTTGTCGAACAGACAGCAAAATGTATATGTTAAAGTTTTACCACTCTGTGGAAAATATACGTCTATGTTTGGGAGCATACAGAAAATTTCCCCCCTTGTAGTCTGTGGTTGTATCACTCTGATAGCTAATAGATTACATTTTCCTCATCCCCACCACCCACAAAAATGATACACATTCCCAATAGGGAAAAACAATAGGTGCACTTAATATAATAAAATAATTTGTGCAATAATCCTTTGTCTGCAAAACACACTTTCTGGAATTATCAAGTTTCATTTGTAGCTTTAAATGTATATAGAATATAGAATGCACACTATAACAATCTCAAAAAAAACTTTGCTTTATTATGTACAAAAAAGTACCAGAGTGAAAACATATAAGAAAAGATAAACAAAGTGACAGAAGCAAGGGCAAACACAATAAAACAATAGTAAATTACCACAAAAATTCTTACAAGCCTCAAGACAGAAACACGAGTCACCAAACCCCCCAACGTTTCGGCACCAACTGTAGCTTTATAAATTATAGGTTGTTTGAGTCTTATAGTTATATGTGGGTGCTTTATAAATGATGAAAGGGGGATTATCAGTGAAAAACAGGTACTATTGTAGGTGCAAAGGGCTAACCGTTGAGAGACATTCCTTTGATTTTCACAATGAATTCCCCATTATTTAGCACTTTACCTCTTATTTAGCACTTTTTGTAATACACCCGTTTTTTGCCTCAAAATATTTCCTAAGAAACCAGCCATTTTTGCATTCGTTTTTTTTTTATTCATCATTGAGTTGAGCATTATTGAATAACCCTCTGTGTATTTAAAAAGCAACATCCACTTGTGTTGATGTATACTTTATAATAACATATTCAGATTAATCAATAAAGGGACACTGCGGGTACTGTAACTTCATCTCATTGTACTGGTTATAGTGTCTGGAGTCCCTTTGCGCCGTCCTTTCATTTAGTGTTAAACCGTTTAACACCTAGAGTCCCCTGCAGCTGACCCCCTTCAGGGCTGCTTGGGCTAATGATTAAGCATTTGCCTGAGTATTACTGGGTGGCTTTGATTGGCTGAAAGTGTCAGATGACAGCCTTCAGCTGACTAGTGCACCCATTGCTAGGCTGTGGACCGCCAAGAGCCCTCATATAGTCTGAAACAGCTTGCAAATGGTTTAACACCAAATCGATGGACCGTGCCAGAGGATTCTGTAACAAGTGCAGTGAGAAAGAAATAGTCATTCAGGGCACCCTGTAGCTGAGCAGATCTGCTTTGGATATAGCATTGTGCTCACGCTGTCAGCCTTGTGTGACATGTTGCTGGAACACTCATTCCCTGGACTGTGGATATGCAGGGAATCCAGCCAGTGGGAAAAGGGCTCTGGGTTGTTGTGTAATGTTTTGACCAGAAAGAAGTCTTAACTGTGAACACAGATGCTTACATAAGAATTAGACTGGGGAAAAAAAAGGACACTTAAAAAAAAAAAAAAGTGTTATTTTATGTGTCATGTGTTTCAAAAAATCTGAAATGCAAAAAACTGACTGTTCCTCTCCTGTGGACTGCAGCTATCCCCAACATTGTTTGGGCAAAAACGTGAGCATGACATCTATAACCACTATATTGGCATTTAACAGTTACAGTGTTCAAACGTGAAAGAAAACAAAACTAGCTGCAAACGTGTGTGTGCGTATATATACACACACACACACATTTTTCTTACCCCCTCAGTTTTCTGTGTTTTTAATGTCATGTCAGAACATGTGCATTTTATGCTTTTTAAAGGTGGGCTTCAGTAAATGTGGATTTATGACAACAATTTGTACAGCTCAATGTATTTTTTGAAGCCTTCCATAAAACGGTATTGTAGTAAACAAATTGCCACATGCCATGAAGATGTCCATTTTCAAACGTGCATTGCACACTTATGCAACAGAGTGTGCATCTTCATATGTTCTTTGCACACCTCATCATTTAACATCAGGCTAAACTCTGAATATTATTATTTTTTAAATCCCATCTGTAGTTTTTCTTCCCATCTATCCCTCTGATAACTAGGTACAGATGGGTGTCAGACAGTCTTGAAATAGATCACAGGAGGGTATCTGGTTTCAGCTATTATCTTTAAATGTAGTCACTCTGTTGTACTGAGCAAGTTCTCCCGGGAACTTTCAAATTAGGAAGTTGCTTTTAATGAAATTTTATACTACCTTTGTAATGAGGAAACACACAAGACCTCTCCAGCAAGACAACCCTCCAAAGTAAACAAAAAAACCAAATTTCATAATAAGTGGTTTGTCTTGTCTGATCACATTTAATGAGATGTTGCTGAACTGATTCGGTTTAGACCCAAATCACAAAACGCAACACTCGTTACAGATTTGTCATTTTCAATCTTCTGTACTTTTACTGTTATTAAGATATCAGTTTCATCTTATTATTCAGCTGCACAGTTTATATTTATTTATGTAATTAATGGTCGTCATATTCTCATTGTTAATAAAAGCTGCTTATCTAATTGTTTTTCTTGGTTTAAAAATGCACAATCTCTAAAGTTTTTGTAGGGTGTGAGTAGAAAGGGGAACTAATTAAAGTGTTGATTTTTTTAAAATTTATTATTTTTTGTGTGTGTGGATCCAACACTTTGGCAATGTTTTGATGACTTATATAAACATTATTTTATTTCATGTTTTCAGGCAAATCTAACGTTGTTAGTTTTGGCTTAATTTAGTTAGTTAATGTAGTTAGTACACTGACCTAAGTGATTTATTCAATAAAGAATGAATTCAAGTGATGAGTGATGAGCTAGTTACAAAGATATCTTTATCCTAGGAATTAACATAGGATGTTCAGGACAAAAGACTGACTCCATAAACACAAGCATTATTTCTAGAAACGTCTTTTAATTTGCGATTTTCAAACATGTATTAGTTAAAGGGATACTCTTGGCAGCAAAACCACTTTAGCTTAATGATACAGTTCTGGTGTATTGTCCATGTCCCAATAGTCTCACTGCCCAATTCTCTGTCATTTAGGAGTTAGATCACTTTGCTCATGTAGCCATAGCTGCACCGCCTGAGCTTGTGACTCCATGGAAAAAAAAGGTTTAATTTTCAAACTGATCTTACAGCACAGTGTGTTTACTTTAGAAGCTATCTACTCCTCTGTTAAATGAACCTTAATAGCAGGGTTTAGCAGGCAGTTAACACAGCAGAAGTTCTAAATTAAATATGCTGTGCAGTAAAATTTAGAATGTTTTCAGGAATTGTGTAGGGAGGCTGTGTGCACTGGGCACATTTTGGAACAAAAAATATGTAATGTGGTACAGTAGTGTGTGAATGGAATGTTTGTTTTGAAGGTTAGTATATAAATGCAGTGCTTGTGATTAAGGTCGTGTGTGAATCCAATGTTTCTGATTAAGGTTAGTTTGTGAATTCAATGTTCGTGTTCTTGCTGTTGACCAGTATATAAATGTGTAAACGAGTGTCTGTATGCGAGGGTATTGGTTAGTAAAATTTGTGTGAATTAAATGTTTGTTTTGAAGGTTAGTATATAAATGCAGTGCTTGTGATGATGGTTTTGTGTGAATCCAATGTTTCTGATGAAGGTCAGTGTGCAAATTCATTATTAGTGTTCTTGCTGTTGGCCAGTATATAAATGTGTAAACAAGTGTGTCCGTATGTGTAAAAAATAGGAAATATTTCTGTGTCGTGCCATCTTGTGTTATAACAGGAGTGTTTTGAAGTGTTGATGATGTGAATGAATTCAGTGGTTTATCTGCACCCTTTTCCATTTCCCAAACCATACCACTAGCAGTCTACATGCTACTAGTCCTCCCCCTGCGATTGTTTGTCGTACATAACCATGTTGTCTTTTTTTTTTTCTTGCTACTTCACTTGCACCAACTACATCATCTAGGTTGAATCTACTAGAAAGTAAATTATATTTTTTTTCCTAAATGTGAGTGGAGCCTCTAATGAGATTTAATAATTTCTTGTCTGGCTTATTTGAAATCTATCTCTATCTCTGCTGCTAAACAGCAAGCATAAGCCATGACTGTTTTAGTAAATTCCTGGTAAAATGAAAGAAACAGACTCGTTATATATTCTCCAAATCATGTTTATTTGTTTTAACCGATACAACACAAATAGCATAGGACGCAAAACTTGTAATATGTTGAGTGAGGAATTAGAAGGTACCCATGAATCTCATCTTGATTATCTTAAAATAAAAACAAGTAAAAAATAACTTAATAATTTTGTGCGCTATGGCACACACATGGATTCATTAGAACGGCTAACATGTTTTAAAGAGGTATCTTGGTGGGTACAGATGGAAGGTTGATTATCCAGCTATACCATGTATTATCTACCCAAAAGATGATGGAACAAGCAGCAATTTTATTATATTTTTCTTATTACTTTTTCGTAAATGTGCTTGGAGGTCTCCATTACTAAGTTGTAGAAAGAAATGCATATGTATACAGTATTTTTTTACACCCATGCAATGTGGTTTTACAGAACTCCCAGCGTTTGCCAGATAGATATCGCTGTAATCCTCTTTATGGAAAGGGCAAAGACCAAACCGAGGTATTCTGGAAAGCTTTGGCAAGACAGCTTATCAACGAGGGATTCCTTCAAGAATCTTCTGGACATAATAAGTTTGCAACCTCGTGTGACCTTACTATGAAGGTAATATCTATTATTTCAACTGCAAGATAATTTCATTGTGAATTCTGGGTGCTCATTACTTTTTCCTCTGTTCTGTAGGGCAGGAACTGGGTTAGCAAAGCTGCAAATCAATCCTGTCCAAGCTTGCTCCTACAGCCTTGTGAAGAATTGTGTCCTCCACGACTCACTGTTTCTAGGTACCTTTTACATGACACCAAAATCTAATACAATACTAGTAGTATACTATAACTACTGCATGTTACAAACTTGGTAGATAGCTGTTTCAAACAATGTGACCTGAAATTCCCTTTCATCGCCTCTATTTAAATCACACAAATGTTGCATATATTTTCTGCATTATCAGAGCTTAGCTGTACTCACTAACCAAGCTGCATTTATATATCTTTTAATGGGCACTGATACCGTAAAGAGCCCATTTCTTTTCTGACACCATTTAGCATCTGCGGATGATGTCACATTATCTTTAAAAAGATTTCAGGTATATTTATAAAGATTTCAGATTTTCTGTACTACAAATAAAGTAAAGCTTTTTTAATAGTTATTTCTGAACTATACACACATATCTTGATTTAAATATTAAAAGCACTAATTACGTATTTATTTTAGAGTGTGAATCAAGATGTGTCTCAGGCTTTCTCCAAAAAGTAACACAGATGGAGAAAATCTCCATTTTTTTTTTTTCCTTCTGTTGTTCAGCACAACCATTTGGTTAAAGGAGCTCTCCCAAACATTATAATCACTACAGCCTGCTGTAGTGGTTCTGGTGCAACGAGTGCCCTTGTGAGCTCCTAGGGTAAGCAGACCCCAGGTAACTTGTCAAGCCAAACCAAAACAGTTTGACTAGTTACCCAGCGATCGTGCTACTGAACATGGAACCATGATACTTGGAGTGTTCTTTTAATGAACCCCAAATAAAATTTATGGTTTATGAAATAAATTTTCATTTAGACACACTGAAAAGTCAGACTTTTACAATTTTTAAAGGACCACTATAGTGCCAGGAAAACATACCCGTTGTCCTGGCACTATAGTGCCCTGAGGGTGCCCCCACCCTCAGGGTCCTCCTCCCGCCTGGCTCTGGAAGGGGGAAAGGGGTTTAAACATACCTTTTTCCAGCGCTGGGCGGAGAGCTCTCCTCCTTCTCTCCTCCTCTGTTCCGCCCCGTCGGCTGAATGCGCACGCGCGACAAGAGCTGCGCGCGCATTCAGCCGGTCGCATAGGAAAGCATTTTCAATGCTTTCCTATGGACGCTGGCGTGCCCTCACTGTGATTTTCACAGTGAGAAGCACGCAAGCGCCTCTAATGGCTGTCAATGAGACAGCCAGTAGAGGATTAGGGGGAAGGCTAAACTACCACAACAAGAGGACATAGTCTTAAATTAGAGGGACAAAGGTTTAAAAATAATATCAGGAAGTATTACTTTACTGAGAGGGTAGTGGATGCATGGAATAGCCTTCCAGCTGAAGTGGTAGAGGTTAACACAGTAAAGGAGTTTAAGCATGCGTGGGATAGGCATAAGGCTATCCTAACTATAAGATAAGGCTAGGGACTAATGAAAGTTTTTAGAAAATTGGGCAGACTAGATGGGCCGAGTGGTTCTTATCTGCCGTCACATTCTATGTTTCTATGTTTCTATGCTTAACCCATTAATAAACATAGCAGTTTCTCTGAAAGAATGGGTTAACCCTAGCTGGACCTGGCACCCAGACCACTTCATTAAGCTGAAGTGGTCTGGGTGCCTAGAGTGGTCCTTTAAGGAGCAACTGAAGCTATCATTATAAAAAAACAACCCACAAAAAAAACTCCCTTCTCCTGTACATACATATACAGATAGCAAAAGGTATATCACTACTTTGCTAAGAAATTAGAACATAAAGAACATAGGAATTAATATGCCACAGCGGCTTATGTATTGTTGGATTGTGCCACTCTAGAAGTTGTCATAGTATTCACGGCAGGCAGACAGAACACAGCACAGAGGCATTTACTGAATCATATGTATAGAATATAAATGTTATGTGCTTTTAACGTGATGATTGCACTTGTAGCAACAGTAAGTAACACGTATAGTCTTTCAGAGAATAGAACATTTATGGGAAGCACTACTGAATCATTTCTAAATATATATTTTTTTCTTTTCTGTTCTATTAAGCAATCTTCCATCACGTTCACCTTCAGTAAGGCAGCCTTCTCAAGATGCAAGGTCAGATAAACCTGCAGCAGATATCCAGGTCAGTCTCTTGTTTGTGGATTCACGTGTCAATTGTTTAATATTAAGAATTATGTGATTTATTCTAAATATACATTTACAGAAAACGTTGAAGGGTAAATATTCCTATCAAGAAGCAGACAAACTTCCCAGAACTCCTAAAGTCTCCAAGAGCAGGTACCTTCAATCATACTCTTTGTTGTGTATATATGATGTACACAGCACATGTGATATAGATAAAATTTCTGCAAAATTGTGATACATTTTCATTACAACTCACCATTTAGTGATACACACCTTATTATTCGCATTTATATAGCACCATCATTTTCCTCACCTCTGTACGATTTTACAGTGGGGTTATTTAACAACATTTAAATTGACAGACAAAATAAATAGACTGTTACAAGAAGTGAATAAGTCCCTTTTCCACGGAGCTTAAAATCTAAGAAGAGGAGGTAACGGAACATGTAGAGGTGAATTAGCAATGAATGAACAGAGGAGAAGAAAAGATCACTTGCGAAGCAAAAGGAGCAAGAAATGGTACATTTATGAATTAAAGAGAAACTCTAAGAAAGAGTGCAGTTGTTGAGGACTTGCCAGCTGTCCTGCACTGGCCCCAGTGTGGTTGGCAGGGATAGTATGCCAGAGCATACTATCTTTGTTTTAGTATGGATATCTGCTGTGTTAGTGTAATGGTTAATGCTGGGTTACAGTTAATGCTTTTTAGGGTAAGGGATAGTGTTGCATTAAGGTTAGGGTAGTGCAGATTTAATGTAAGCATAGGGTAGGTGAATTGTTGGTATAGGGCTGGGGGGACGGGGATTAGCGTTAAGGGGGCGTTATAGGCACCTAGACCACTTCATATCATTAAAGAAGTCTAGGTACATTGCAGGATTAGGACTGCCTCTAGTGGCAGAGATACTATAGTGTTAGGAATAACGCTTTGTATTTTTAACACTATATAGTGTTACTTTAAGTACCACAAATTTATTTAGAATCTAGAAATACAAGGCCTTTTCTGGCCAGTATTTCTAATACAGTGAAACACTTAAATTACGATAAAACAACATTCTAGGTTTTGTTTTGGTTCAGAAGTTGGCCAATTGCCTCCATCCTTAAAGGACCACTATAGTGCCAGGAAAACATACTCGGGCTCTGGGGAGAGTAAGGGGTTAAAATCTTACCTTTCTCCAGCGCTGGGCGGGGAGCTCTCCTCCTCCATAGCGACGTCATCGGCTGAATGCGCATGCGCGGCAGGAGCCGCACGCGCATTCAGCCAGTTCATAGGAAAGCATATACAATGCTTTCCTATGGACACTGGCATCTTCTCACTATGATTTTCACAGTGAGAAGCACGCAAGCGCCTCTAGTGGCTGTCAAGAGACAGCCACTAGAGGCTGGATTAACCATATTATAAACATAGCAGTGGTCCTTTAAGAAGTTAATGCTTCACCATACTTTTTTTTTTTTGTAAATGAAAGTTTAATTGACATTCAGCAACAGCAGGCGTAAGCCAATAAGGAAGGACACGCAGGTCCCCAATTAGTACAGTTGTCTTCCATTCCTCATTTCCTTCCCCGTTTAGTTTTTTTGTGTTTTTGTTGTTGTTATTTTATCAATTTATCTTTTATCTACTCTTTCCCTTCCTTTCTTTTACCCTTTCCTCTTCTCTCTCCTTCTTTTCAATTCTTTCCTTGTCACCTGTCTTCATTGTTTCCCTTCATTGTTTGTTTTATTTGCAAAGTAGCTATATAGGGCCATTTCGTAATTAGCCAATGTTCTCCGAAAGGTACCAGTGCGTCAAATACAGTTACATATATACCGTAGACCAGGGGTTCCCAATAAAGTTTTCCCGTGGACTCTTTGACATAGTATATTAACATCGTGGACCCCCCCAGAAAAGAAATAAATTGCGCCGTTTTTTTGTATGTGCCGGTGTGTGTCAAGGTGTATATTTCTGTGCTTGTATGTGCCAGCATGTGTGTGTATATCTGACACACAGATACACACAAACACAGTGGCACACAGATACACACACCTTGACACACAGTGTGTGTGTATATCTATGTGTCAAAGTGTGTGTATCTCTGTTAGTATGTGTCTGTGTATCAAGGTGTGTGTATCTGTGTTTGTATGTGACAGTATATGAATCTGACACACAGATACACACACACTGACACAGATACACACACTTTGACACAGTGTGTATCTGTGTGTGTGTATGTATCTGTGTGTCAAGGTGTGTGTATCTATGTTTCAAAGTGTTTGTATATGTGCCGGTGCGTGTCAAGGTGTGTATATCTGTGTTTGTATGCGCCAGTGTGTGTCTCTGTGTGTGTGTGTGTGTATGTATGTATGTATATATATATCTATCTGACACACAGATACACACCTTGACTCACAAATACACACAGTAACATATACACACACTTGCACCCACAGATACATACTGACATACACACACACAGGAACACACTGGCACATACAAACACACTGGCACATACATACAAACACACATTTAGATACATGCAGTGACACATACACAAACCTTGACACACAGATACACACACTGACACACTCAGACACACATACTCTTTGACAGACACACATACGCTCTAACTGTCAAATACACATACTCTTACAGGCACACATACAAACACATACACTCTCACTGACAAGAACAGGTACATTCTCACTGACAAACACATACACTATCACACTCTCACTGACAAGCACACATTCACTCTCACTGACAAACACACATATACTCTTTGACAGACACACAAACACATACAAACTCCCTAACAGTCACACATACATTTTTTTTTTTATTATTTAACATTTTACTCCACCCAGTCCCCCTACCTTTAGAAGTGCTGGCGTGGAGTGCCTGGGTTCCAGTGGGGCTGCTGAGCGGCTGGTGTGCTTGCGGCGAGGTAGCAATGATCAACCTGCTTAGCTCCCTTGCACGCCTATTAGTGATGCGAGGGAGCTGAGCAGGGAGATCACTGCTCACTCGCCTCCTGCGGCCATTTTATTTTTTTAACTTTTGATGAAAACCCCAATTGGTATTCCGCGGAACACCAATTGGGAAACGCTGCCATAGACAATTCAGAAAATTGCAAAGAAAAAAACGGTAATAACAGTAAGATACCATACTTTTTATTATATAAAGAATCCTTTAGTTTGCAAACCTTTAGTTGTAGAAAAGCTTTAATTGCCACATGTTCTTGTTTTTTTGGTACAGTTTGAGGTTTCAGTCTCCAGTCACACCCTCGAAGCCTGAAGAACCTCCTGTATCACCCCGAGAATTGGAGCTGCAGGTGAGTGGCAAATTAACCCCTTACCTCCTAAGGTTTTGTATAACAGCTGAACATTTTATGTTCCATATTTAATGTCTCTCCTGTTCTCTTGCATTGAGCTTAGCCCAGATTTGCAGGATGTGCTGGCCCTGCATGACAGGGTTTAGCTAATGAGAGCTACCACAGGTCAGCTGTCAAATTGTTACTGACATCATAACCACTACAGTGCACTGAACCGGTTGTACTGCTTGGAGTATGCCTTTAAATTGATTATGATTATTATTATTATTTTAAATGCAGTCAGAATTTAGAAAGGCATATATGGGACAATTTTAGCTTTTCTTCAAACAGTTCGAAAAGAAAATAATAATAATACAGCAATGAGCTTAGTTTTCCCCCAACAACTCACTGAAGTCCCTCATTGTTTGAGGGCTAACGCTTCACTGAGTTTTTATAAACTATGACTTGGAGGTTAGTGAGCTGAAATAAGATCTCACAATCCAAGTCTATGGCAGTATGCATTCACCGTATCTTGCTATGTGAAATAGTTAGCCCTAGCTATGGAAACAAGTTAACTATTCCTGAATGTAAGAAAAGTCATATCCTGTTATCCTGTATATACATGTAAGTCCTCTGAAATGTGAAGACAAGTAACACACTTTAAGTAGTGGGTTAATGCAATGAAATACAAGACTTCAAAACTTTTATCTGATCAATTACCCAAGTGTAAGAAATATTCCGATCTATATTGCCTAATGTACATCTCAAAGATTGTAATTTGCATGCAGATTAATTGTATTGTAGATTTTTTTTATTTGCTCTTTTTATTGGGAGAAAGTTATATTTTGTTTGTAGTTCTTATTGCTAATTTAGGTATCTAAGCTTATTCTTCAAAAATTATTGTGATGAGAACTTGGTTATTCAAAGTAGTGCTCCATCTAGTGGCAAATTCAGTATTATGCTTTGATTTTCTTCCCTGTGTGATACAGGCAGGGATATATTTAGTTTCATTGTTGTCATCATTTATACACTGCCAACAATTTGGAAACACACAACACCGTCTTACTGAATCTTGCTGACCAAAGAGTGTTGGTCTTCTCTCCATCACTCTTCATTTGAAGGGCCTGCTTCTGTGGAGTAGTGATCCTGGTTGGATGAAAACATAGCGAGGATCTTTTTTTTTTTTTTGCATCTGTAGTGAATGAATGGAAGGTCTTCTGGATTTTGAGACCTGACCTTTCGGAGGAAGGCAGAATTTTGCTTGCTAAATCTTCCAATAAAACACCCATATCTTTGGGTGCACGTGCCAGTAACAGGGATACCAGAAAAGTCGAATTCATGCTGCATTCTTTCAGACAAAATATCTTTCGAGTGACCACCAAGATAACTGACACTCTAGCAGACATTCGAATGGAGTCCACCACTAACTTACTAAATAATGTACTGTATAATCTATCTTTAAAAGCCTTGTCGGCCAACTAAGAGACATTTTGCTGATGGCTGTCTGTCATTTTTGGGTTGAAAATAACTCTTTAGGATTTAAATATCCCAGGGGAAGCCCCTTTTGTCTTCCATGATTACCTGATTTGGGTGGTATCGTCTAAAGAAATTGGGATAAACTTGGCCACACTAAGCCACTACTGCTTCCATCTTCGTGAAATCTCATTAGGGTGTAGTTTGAGAGATCTAAGGCAAGCATTTTTTGTATTTATCTGGAGACTGCTAGTTTACTTTCAGGTGGTTTCTTACCTCTAGAACCAAATTTAAAGGTTTATAGGAACACTATAAGGTCAGGAACAGAAACATGTATTCCTGATCCTATAGTGGGAAAAACACAATCTAGCCCCCTTTCCCCCCTTATCCCCTACATATAGTAAAATCTCACCCTTTTCCAGTTTGCTGCTGATGGCTCTGCCCCTGATGTGCCTACGTGGCTGACATCATCATAAGTTATGATCTGAGCCAATCACAATGCTTTCCAATAGGAAAGCATTGGATTGGCTGAGCTTATCAGAGAGGCAGATCAGGAGCAGAGCCAGCACAAGCCAAACATAGCCCTGGCCAATCAGCATCCATGCATACTTATGAGGAATGTTCAGTGTCTCCATGCAGAGGGTGGAGACACTGAATGTCAGTGCTGTACACTGTGCAGCACTGCCCCAGGAAGCAGCTCTAGTAGCCATCTGAGGAGATGGTCACCAGGTTAATTCTGCTTGTCCCTGCACAGAGAAGCAGGGGGTGTCATTGTGAGAGAAACTGGGCTGACGGGCTGGCCAGCAGCTTGTACGAATGGAAATCTGTGCATCGCAGTGAGGCCACGTCCTTTAAATTGGCCTTTCTGTGGTGCGCCCACCGCTTTTAATGATAAGTGCATTGATTCCAGCTTACTTCCGTTTGCACGCACTGCATTAGAAGGGGAAGAAGTGCACAGCAGAACTGCTGATTTAAACTTCTCTTGCAGTCTCTGTTATGTAAGCAGTGACTCAGCCTTACGGTGTAGCACTGTGCTAAACAAATGAGCATCTTGACAACCCAAAAAAGACCAGCCAATGTCCCCCTGCAACCTAGGTCAGCCTGTGCTTGGTATATTCTGATAGTAATAGATGTAACATTCAGACCATGGTCGTTATATTCTTTGTTTTTTTGCTTTCCTCTACATCTGAAATATATATTCCTTCCATGTTTATTATACTTGTGTCTATAGAAACCGTTACTGAAGGGATTATAGATCCTTTTGTAAGCAACTGTCAACATTTGCCTGCCTGCAGTGTCTGTCTGCTGCATATCAATTTGTATGCTTTCAAGTGACCTACAAGGAAATTTTCAGCATTCTGTACCCTTGTACTGTTACGAGTGCAATGCATAATAAAATGTATCTCCTCCAACACTAGTCTGGGGAAACACTGTGAAAACACTCTTATATGAGAGCGTTATGCAGGGCAGAGATGATTACACTCCCCTTACATTTTTTAAACTTGTTTTGGGGGATCAAGATCAATAAAGAATATATGTATATTTTAAGTGTCTCTGTTAAAACAAGTTTCATGTGAGTTTATTCCCTCTGACCACCCCCAAAAAAATCGGTCTTGATATTCCTTACCCCCTGCACATATTTAAAGCAGCTTATAATTTATTAATAATTCCTCGGTTCTGCATTTGGCTTTCTCTGAAGCTGTGTTTTAATTTGGCTTTTTTCGTCTAAAATTTGAAATTCGCTTTGCGAGGCTAAAGATTTGAAGTCTTATTCCACCAGCCAGGCCTGAGTGTTACTTGGCACTGCAAACCTCAATGCGGCAGCTGAAGATGCATTCTTAGCCACCATTCTCCCAAATGACTTGTAAAAGTTCTAACAATTTCTAGCATTTGGGTGTGCCAGGAGTTGCACGATGCCTTGTACAGCTGCCTCGGACTCCTTTGTTTGTGTTCTTTTTACAACAATGCCACAAAGTTCCTACTTTTAAACAGCACTGAGTGCAGTGGGGAGCCTATTGTACACTCCTTAGAGGGACCCTACAGTCCCGAAAATAATAATGGTTATTTTTGGGACTGTAAGCTCCCTTCTTGCAAAGTGCATACTGTAGAAATCTGCCTGTCAACCTCTTTGCCCTGTAAAAAAAAACAAGTTAAATAAATATTATTCTCCTCATTTCTTTAGTAATGTCATCAAGCATGCTGACACCATGTGCTATTAGCAGCATTTAGTTACAGGACTGAGTTTTACTCGGTTACGGAGATGGAAGCGCCTCTTGTGACTGTAGGAAGCCTCTAGTGGCTGTAGAGGCTAGCTTATCCCATTTTACAAAATGTCAGTGTTTTACAGTGGTGGCCTAAAACTAAAGGACCAGTGCACCCAGATCACTTCTTTGAGATGAAGTGGTTTGAGTGATTTTACTGGTCCTTTAAGGCTAGTCACACACTTCACTTGATAATGCTGAATTATTGACTGATAACTATATGCTATGTATATTTTCGCAGACTTCCTTATACGGCAAGCTGGTCTCAGCCAGGCAGAAGCTTGCCAGTGAGAAGGACATACCACCTGCTGTCTTGGCTACTAACAAAGTTCTTGTGGACATGGCTAAAATGAGGTTTGTAATTATTTTTTGTTTATAATTAAAGAAAATGACATGTAGCACTTAAAGAAAGTAATAATTCTGGATCTGTGTGCATTGTATCTCTCCTATTCATCAGGATACGTTAATAAAATATTTTTGTAGCATCTCCGCTTTTAAAAAGGCACTGCCATGTGTTTGAAGATATAAAAAGAAAGTGCTTGAAGGCGGATGGGCAAGGTAGATATGCTTGTCTGGATGTAGCGCTCCTCTGTGCCACCATTTTCGTCATCTCCATGTCACTATTGTGCTCTTGCACATGCAGACTTGGATCTATTAAAGGTCCTTAGGCAACAGGATCTTCCAAAGATAAGCAAATGTTCACTGAGATGTCTACTGCCACAATCTGCCAAAAATAGGGTCCTACATGAGATAGTGTCATCCCTACTTTGCCTTGAAGTTTAATGAATTTTGAGTGGAGTCTTTGAGATTTTGATACGGATTTTATCTTTATTATTAAAACCTACAAGTGATATTGCCACTTAAAGTGGAACCGGAGGTCGCATCACATGCAGGCCGCATCACAGCGACGGAGGAGGTGACTGAGGCCCTCACAGTGCACATTGCATCTGCGGACACTGCGATAGCGCTCCAAGGGGCGATGCTTCTGTCGATGAGACGTCACCTCGAGGATGTGGATAACAGAGGCCGGAGGTGCAAAATCCGCATCCGCGCAGTGTCAGAGGCTGAGGGAGCAGAAAAATGTCGAAAAGATACTTCCTGAACTCTTCCAAACCCTTCTACAGCCGACCTCACCACAGCACATAGCGTTCGACAGGGCACACAGAACAACACGGCCCAGAACTCTGGAAGAAGGGCCGAGAGATCTCATATGCTGCCTACACTCCTTCCCAATTAAAGATGCCATTATGAAGAAGGCCCGGGAAAGACCAACGTAACCCTACAGAGGTACTCAAGTGGCACTGTACAACGACCTGTCCCCCATCACATTGGAAGCCCAGCGGGCTCTCCGTCCAGTGACGACCGCATTAAGGGAACGCAATATAACATACAGATGGGGGTTCCCATTTGCCCCAATGGCCAGACACCGCAATGGCTGGATCTCAATATGCTGGCCTGCAGAAGTACCAAGGTTCATGGAGGAACTGGGCCTTCCGACACCGGTCGTCCCCAACTGGACCATCGGCCCCTCCGAAGAGAACAAAGAGAGGACACAGACAGCGAGAAGCACGATCACGCTCCACCCAGCCTGCCAGACGGAGGAGTGAGTACCTATCCACCCGAGATGACATCAGCACCCCAGACACCCGACCCACGCTGCCTTTCCAAATTAGACCCTATAACGAGAGTTGCCGGAGACCCCTTGAAGTGGCTGGGCAACTGTGAACTGCATCAACCCCAGATGATTGGTCTGTGATGCAAAGTTGATTGGAACACCTACAGGTACGCTGGGTCACCTCTCGGGGTATCTTGGGTGGGGGGAACATGGGACCGCGGGCATACACCAGGAGATCACGCACCTGCTGAGTTACAACCATCATGACTGCCCGGCTAGTCGACACACGGAAACTATTTCTTGCATTAATAGATCAGGTAGAGACTTCGACCCGAAGCGCAATGCATAGATAAACGGGTGAAGATCTGATTAAATATAATACTAGTAACGAAATATGACCCAGTAAACTTCATCACATCCGCATGGTAATGCATGCCAGCAACACCAATGAGGACCTGCGAGTCCGAATTATACCTGGGCCTGCTAGCCACTTTACCTGCAAATATTCAGATATCCCTTCTGTCTGTACACAATGCATACTGTCGAATCTTATACATACTATAATTGTGGAGACCTGCAAGTCTCAATGTTATATTTAAACAATCTTCGCAAATAATAAAAACATATTTACTTAAAGTGGAACCGCACATTCCCATAATGTTCTTATTGGAGGATATCGCTACTTTACATTAAAATGGATGTGTTTCTCCTTCAATACCGAGGGCCTTGACAATCTCTGGAAATGTTCCCAAGCAGAGCCTGCCACTTGGCTGCAAGTTGAGACTGAAAGATTATAGTTGTTTAACAATTACAGACCGCTCAGTATGTTGACATGGAAAGCGGCAGCAGATATGTATGTTACTGCTCCTAAAGGAAATAAATATGTCGTTCACCTTTAGGGTGAATGATACACAGTGCTTTGCAAAAGTATTCAGTTCCTTTGAAAATGGTCATTTTTTTTTACAAGTGATGCTCACACAATATGTAATGCAAGTTCATCTGCTCTAAGAGTACATTTTTAAGAATACATTATGTATTTCCAAGTAAATATCAAAAAGACAAATTGAAATATGCAGCTTGTATAAATATTCCAACTGCTTATTAATATGTACTTAAGCCACCTTTTGCTTCTTTAAGTCCTTTGTTGTTTGTTTGTTTTTTTAAACAGCTTTCTTTGCACACTATCTGGGAGCAATTTTAGCCCATTCTTGGCAGATTGCTCCAGGTGGTTCATGTTTGTTAAATGGCACTTGTCTACTGGAATTTTCAAGTAGTGCCACTTTTATTCTCAATAGGATCAAGATCAGGCTCTGACGGCACCACTGTACAATATTTATGTTTTGTTCTTGTGTGTTGCTTATAAATTGTGCTTGGAATTAATGTTCTGGTGAGCCTTCTCCCAAGCTTCAACTTTTTATCAGACTGAAAAAAGGTTACCGTATCCTGCTGTATTGCTATGTGATTTGTGCCATCCATTCTGCCTTGATTTCAGCCAGGGTAGGTGTGGCTAGGACTACAGAAATAAAATGTTGCAGTTAATTGAGACTGCAGTCGCATGATTTATGCAACAACATGATTTCAATGCTTTATTATGTGAAGCATTTGGATGTTTACTGCACATGGCCATCAGTCTCCAATGCGGATTGGCCACCGGCTGGAGAGCTGGATGACACTATGGGAAGCGGAGGGTCTGACAGCACCGAGGGAGTCTTGGTGTTGGTGTTAAGGTAAGAAATAAACATTTTATGTTTTTACTGGGAAGGGGCTGGGGGACTAAAACACACCTGCAAATAGGGCACTACAGCGTTAGGAATACAGGTTTGTATTCCAAACACTATAGTGTTCCTTTAAGTTGAGTCTGGCATGACAGGTTCAGTTTAAGTATCTCATCTAGGAAAGGAGCTATCTACTAAAGTGAAACTGCTTTAACTGCAATGCACAAAGCCTAATAGCATTACGGTACTACCCAAGGAAAATAAAACACCATCTACTGACCAGTCCTACTGTTTATTTCTTATTTGAAATTGCTTGCAAAGACTCTAACATATAATTAGCATGTTTATGTATCTTCAGCTAGCAATGACTGCATTTTCTTTCATATATTTCTGCAGACCAACCACAGTTGAAAACATGAAAAAGCTTGATGGCGTGTCGGAGGCAAAGGCTTCCATGTTGGCTCCCCTTGTTGCAGTTGTCAAAGAGTTTTGCCTAGCGAATAGTTTGCAGGTGAGTGTGATGTCTAAAACTTGTTTTTTTGCAGAGAAAGGTAAATATTATGTGAGCTACAACTACATCATGCTATTTTAATATCTAGCAAAACTAAGATATTGGGGCGGGGGCAATGGGCTAATTATGGAAGAGATACCATAGAAAGCATTTTAATGCCAAGTATTATAGCTCCTCACGTAGAAAGGATTTTTGTTACAGTCAGGGCTGGATTAAGGTTTCTAAAGGTCCTAGGCAGGGTGCCCCCTTCTAGAGTCCTGGGTTCTGTTCTGTGAATAGTGTGGCTGTTGGAGGGAGTATTGTGTGAGTTTGTGTAGTGGCTGAGTGTTGTGTGTTGAGGAGGCTGATTGTACTTGTGTGTGCTGGTTGATTGGTGTGTGTTTGTGTGTGGCGGCTGAGCTTTGTGTGTGGAGGAGTCTGAGTGCTGTGTGTGTAGGGTAGTCAGAGTGTTTGTGTTTTTCCCTCCGACCCTTTCTGCTTACCTTCTCCTGATGGTCTGGTGAAGGGTAAGCTTGATCCTTGGTGCTCCAGTGAGGGAGCGTTGTGGTCTGCACCAATAAAGGACGCACTGCCTCGTGATCCAGTGCTCCGTTAATGACTCAGACTGCTGGCTGCTGTGATGTGACCTGCATCAAATATTGGTGCAGATCACAATGTTCCCTTGAGAAGATGAGGGGATGCAGGGACCAGCAAGGAGATATTTTTGATCTCCCTGACAGCTCAGAAATGGTCTCCTACAGCCTGATCTCTAGGCCCAGACAGGAGACCTCTCTGACCTGGTCTTATGGGTAGACCTGTAGTCTGTTTACAGTATTGATCCAGTTTGCCTTTTTATATATGATGCAATGAATCCTGTAAATTTTAAAATATTGTGCAGAAACACATGTGTTTATGGCAGTTTATTCTAATTTTTGCACATTGCTTAATGAATGAGGAACCTCACACAGGGTTTTTGGTTGTGGACACGTCTAATTTTATCATTTCTGGCAAACTGAGTAAAACATATTTGTGGGATCTTTATATCTTCTTCTGAGCTAGAAATCCTTGGGGGGAAGTGAGGGTGGGATTGGCAGTAGTGATACAGTAAGGAAACTGAAATGTATGTAAATAGTTTAGAATTAATTTATTTTCAAATTCAATTTATATATTCATGTTATCTCCTTTCCCATGTCTCCCGACCCCATGTCCCTCTCATGTGGTCCTATCTCCCAGTTTCTGTTTCCTGTTGTTCCTCACTTTTTCTTTTGCATTTTGTTCTGAGATTTTACATTTGTATTTCAGACAGATATATTTGCCAGTTCCAAGACTAATTTAGAGGCGAATGTGGTAATACAGAAAGGTCCTGTGCCTATGTTGCTACCAGAGTCACAGCGTATAACTTATTCACTTTTCCAGGAACAACATTTATCTATGGTAAGCGTTTTCTTACATTAGATTTGGCTATTTTATATTATATTTTTACATTTTTGTGTATATAAAGTGGATCTTTTCATGTTTTTTTGGGGGGGGTGGGAGGCTTGAACAGGAAAATTCTAACTATACTTTTTTCTTTTAACACATATTTTTATTCTGCATACTATTGTATGAATAACTTTGCTTAAAGAGACATTAAAGGCACCAAAACAACTTAAGCAGTTTAGGTGTATAGATCATACCCATGCAGTCTCACTGCTCAATTTTCTGCCACATTATTTATACAGCCCTAGTCACAACTCCCTGCAAGTAACTTAAACAGTCTTCCTAAACACTTCCTGTAAAGAGAGATCTTAAACTTTATTTATTGCAAATTCTGTTTAGTTTATAATTTCTTATCTCCTGATATTTTAAAAGTCTTCTAGACCCTGCAGGAGCATCCTGTGTATGATTCAATTTCAATTTACAGAGCAGGATATAAACTTCTAAAGCAAGTTAAATTCTGATTAAAAATGAAACCCCTTTTCATGCAGGCTATGTCCGTCACAGCCAGGGGAGGTGTAACCAGGGCTGCATAAACAGAAACAAAAGTGATTTAACTCCTAAATGGCAGAGAACTGAGCACTGAGACAGCAGGCGTATGATCTATACACCAAAACTGCTTCATTAAATTATGAACGCTCAGACTTCTACAAAGATTTTTGCGCAAGGTTGTGCGCACTCTCCACTTTTTCCAGCAGTTCTTTACGCACAAATGCACCGTGCAGACAGCATTGCAGGGGTTAACTTATTTACATGCTTTGCCCAGTGTGCCTGGCACTGGGTGTAAATTAAAAATAAAAAAAAGAAACCTCACTGAGTTTAAAATTAAATAAAAGCTTAGTGCAACTCTTAGTGCCTCTTTTGGCCTTTCTCACTATTGTTACAACTCATTATGCGATCCTCAGCTATTGGTAAATTACACAGTGGGGTATAGGCAATTAATGTACATGCCCAAGATTGTATGGAAGATTGTGGCATTCGCAATAATTAACATGTGCGAAAATAATACTGCAGGTGTAATATATTCTATGTACCTTTAAAATTCTTTGCCCTTGGCCCTGGAGGACACTTCAATTATTTTTCAGTAAAAAACACTGTTTAATCATGCTTCCTCTGGGTGATGCAGTATCTTCTAGACCAATGCAGCACAATGGCTCCTAACAGGAAAACATTTTTTTTTTTTTAATGTTTTACTGGAAAAGATATGTTTAGATTTCATGTCCATACAAATACAATTAAAATTATTGACTTCTTTATTTAAAGTTCTGCATTTAAACCGCTGTGGGGGGGATAATTGCTGGGTACATTTTGTGATGCTTACTGTGTACGTAAGTATGCTCTGTCTGAGCACGACATTCAGCCAGTGATTATCAATCGTTCTTCCTTTTACTGTGCAAATAGGTCATCTTCTGCTGGTTTTTGGAAGCCATCCATATTTTATCTTCTAGATTTCTCTGAATCAATTTCAAGTTAAAGGAACACTGTGAGATTAAATACGTGTTTCTTGGAAATATTATCTAGTGCCCCCTTAAAATGTGGAAGACAAAATAAAATTACATTTCTTAATTTAATGACATTTCGCCAAGTGTTTAGTTATGAATGTAAACTTGAGGAAAAAAAAGGGCACACAAGATTGTTACTACTCTTTTTATGATCTAGACCAGGCTTCCTCAAACTCCCGGCCCTCCAGATGTTCCTGAACTACAACTCCCATGATTCTATGAATTAAATAGATAGGCTGAGAATCATGGGAGTTGTAGTTCAGCAACATCTGGAGGGCCGGAGTTTGGGGTAGCCTGATATAGACACTAAAATCTAAAGATACTAAAGTTCAAAAGACCATAAGCAGTTATGCCACTGAACTAACACACATGCTTGCAACCATGATCAAAAACAAAACTGGCTGCTGGCATGTTCGTTTGTAAATCTTTATTCTTTAATTTATAGTGAAACCAAAGAAAGTGACAATGGTATAACAATTTACCTGATCTAGCTAAACTTTACTAAATGGATGTTAATCGTCTCTGTACACCTGTATCGCATGCTGTATACTTCGCATCTCACCAACGCCATTTTTATTCATTTCTGACTTCTAAAACCTGTATACAATGTAATGGGTGCTCATCGCTAAAACAAAATACAAAATGATGGTTTCCTATAGATAAAACTGTGCTGCAAATACAAACTGAAAAATATAACAACTTGCAGCGCTACGGAATTTGCTGGCGCTGTATAAATAATAAAATAATAATAAAAACTTAAACAGAAAAATTTAAAAGTGACTCTCTTATTCTGAAAATCTGAGAAGCTGTGTTTTCCTACACCAGATAAAAACATTTGAAAAAGACACATTGTATTGAAACTTTTGCTTCTCAGCAAAAGATGACCATTTTGTGTTTTTATTTTTTCCATATTCCTTAAGTTTGGTGTTTCCTAAATTTAAGCTTGGCCAGCATTGCAACGAGAGCCCAGGGGTTTAAGGATTAAACAAGAGATTTTATGATCTACTCACAAAATATCATTAAAGCTATATTGTCTAATTGTCTATCAAGTCAGATGGAACCTGTAGGAAAAAAATAGTGTTATCAATATTAATGTCAAGTTAAATATGGCAGTGGGGTATATGTTTCATTTATAAACTAATAGCTGTAGATGTCTGGAAACACAATTGGGTAATTGTCCAAAACATGAATGACTGGATTCAACTTGCCCCCCCCCCCCCCACCCAGCCTGTCTTTGTTTAAAATTTAAACATCTGTTTAAATCAGAGACCTTATTCATGTTTGACAGCTTTTCATGTACAATATGAATCTTTTAATCACAAACTCCTTTGAACTCCCACTCAACGTTATTCTTTTGTCAGTCATCCTACAGGTACTACTCCTCTCTGTGTGACTAATCGTATTGTTAAATGCTGGATGTCTGGGCGAGACTGTGCTTTTAATATATAGCAAATGAAAGGTAACACAGCGGGCACCTATTTGATTTTCTTTATTTTGTTTTCCTTTGTAGCGGACTATCGCAGACTCCCGCAGTTTGAGCATGGCCGCTGTTGGCATGCATCTGTGCCAGGCCCTGAAAGCTGGCTACCCTGTCAATGTGCAACGAGCTGGCCTGACTCCCACTATACAGAAGACCATTATGGATATTATTAAAAAACCTCCAATTAACTCAGGTCAGACATGAGCCATTTTTTTTTTTTGGGGAAGATGATTGGCAAATCTAATGTGCTGCACTATATAATGCATGCACGTGCGGGTATATGAAAAGTACAAAAGATATCAATATGCTTGGAGTAAACCTATAATGACTAAATTGAAAATATATATATATATATTTTTTTTTTTTTTTTAATTTAGTCATTATAGGTTTACTCCAAGCATATTGATATCTTTTGTGATTTAAAGTGGTCATGGTGCCTGAAGTCTGTAAGTGCATTGTTTCATTTTGTAATGCTACATATATAGAGAGCTTAACCCCTATGCTGCCAGTGGTGTAACTCCACTAACGGCTGCATCATTAACCAGATGGCTAATGTCTGTTCTGCACATATTGGAGTCATCAAACATGTCTGGTGGTTGTATGCTACACCCCATGCCGCCCATGTACTCCCCTCCGGCCATCATAGCTGATATCTGTCCTCTGCCTGAGGAGGATTGGGCTGCAGAGAGAACATGTCCTCAGTGTTGGAACGGAGGTAAGTTTTAGGTTTAATTTATTTATTTTAATTTGGGAATGCACTAGCACAGCAAGGGTTACTCTAAACAAAATTTGTGTTTTATTAAAAGGCTGTTCTTGTGGTTGGAGTAACCCTTATTTCCCAAAGTCAAGCAAATACATATGAAAGAAAAAAATTGTTATAAAGATTAAGTGATAATTATGTTAATTTAGTGAAGAAAACACAAAAAGTAATTAGTCAACTATGTGGAGACATTCTAAGGACACAGAGAGCTGAACTCGACTGAACAGTATTTTGAGTGTGCAGCAGTGTGGTCATAGCAGAAGCTGTAAAATACTTGAAAAACACAAACATGTACTGCAAGATTAAACTAATTGTACATTATAACATTCTGTAGGTCACTAAAGGCCATGATGTTGCTCTCGAGTGATTACATAGTTATATTTCCTTGTACAGCTCAGACAGTTACAGACACACTCCTTTTGTGTTTGGGTGATTACAGAGTACATCATGCAATCTCATCACAGCAGGAGAGATACCTACTGATTATCCAACATCAACAGGAGTCTTGATCTAAGGAACACTGTACCTTTAGGAATACAAATGTGTGTTCCTAAAGGTGTAATGTCCCATTTACTCCGCAAGGGTTAAAAAGCCATTTTACTTAACTTTCAGCCCATGCTGCTATAATGAGGTCGCCCCGCTTCCTTGGTGATCTCAGCCAATCCTATAGGAAAGCATTGGGAGGCTAGTGCGCTTGTGTAGCAAAATGATGCGCTGCACTAATCGGATGGTGTCTGAGACCGTCTAATTAAAATAGCCTAGTCTAACCTGTTTACAGCAATTAGAGGCATTGAAACCCTGCAATGCAATCAAACGAGAGGGACATGACACCGAGACTACTTCATTAATATGAAGTGGTCTGGGTGCCTATAATGTCCCTTTAATGAAATTCAGGCCTGATTCCAGTTCACGGTGATGGAAAACGCTCAGACGCTTCTAAATTGAGAGAAGGTTTAAAGTTGTACTATCCCCAGTATGTGATAAAATCATTAGCGGTTAAGTTTTGTTGTCTTCCTATCTGTCAGCAAAAACGGAAAGCTTAAACATGTGTTGATCTTGATAAACATTTTCTTTTTCTCCAATGGCAATATTACGATCTCTCCAACAGTGTTTGTCTTTGTTATTCGATGATTTTTAAAAAAAATTTCTTTGTTGTATTGTGCTTTTCTGTATTAATGGGATCACCGTGGACATACCATTGTAAATGAGCAGACTGAAGATTGATCTGAATGTGTTAATTGCCTCCTAACAATAAAAAAAAAACTACTCATGGCAAAGCTAAATGAGGATGATAAAAAAATATATATATATATTTCTCTTTGCAAGATATACCCAGAATCTGTGTTGTACATGGTTAGTGTGTTTCACTCTATTTAAACTCTGGATGATAAAGGTACAAGACATTAGGGATGGTGAACTAGCCTATCCACCAGGTTAGAAGCAGAATATTTGACGAGCACCCAATACAGCGTGCCATGGAGTCTCTTGGGTGTACCATGGAGTCTCTTGGGTGTACCATGGAGTCTCTTGGGTGTACCATGGAGTCTCTTGGATGTACCATTGAGTCTCTTGGGTGTGTTCTGAACAATCTATATTTGTTTACTGGCGTAAATGGCAGAATTGAGAACCTCCAATAGTAATGTCATTTTATATACTACATTCTCATTTAATTGTAAAGAAACATAGAGGTTTACAATAATTATCTGGAATCTGACTTAACCGTTAGAATATTCAGTATACATAATGATTTGGACTTTTTGTGAACTTTCCTTTTTTTTCCTTTTTTTATTGTTTTTTTTCCTAACAAAGTAGGTGTTGCTATAGTAATAATTAGCCGTTTCACCACATCAATGACACATATATATGTTTTAAATGACAAGCAGTGTGAAAAAACATGATCTGCCATTTACTTGGGAATTAGATAAACCCACCTAGAACTAGACACACCAGGAATACAAACAATTCACAACGTGATGTTAACAATTTTAGATGAAGGCATGATTAACTGAGCAGGAATAACAACAAACTCTTTTTATTGTGTTTCATTTAAAGGAACACTTTAATGAAAATATTAATATATATAAACAATTTGGTAAATATACTCCCAATGCAAACATGCAAGCATTTACTGGTGCATGTTTTTCTTGACTGCAGTTTTTGCAAGCCCTCCCCTTCTAACCCGGCCCAGACTTTCTGTAACTGTCCAATCGCAGAGTGTCCAATGCAGTTTAATGAGTATTTGCAAGGCTGGTGCTCTGGGCAATTTCTGCCTCTTGAGTTTATCTCCACTGAGTTAAACAACCTGGAAGTAACAGGGCCAATTGTCTGACAGCCAAGGGGTGCAGCAAGGTTAATATTTAAAAGTGCCAATTTCTATTGAAATCTGCACTTTTTGTAAAGGGAAAAAGAGGACTCACTCTTTACATATAGAGCAATTCAGAAAGCTAAAGTGTTATTTATTTGAAATGTTCCTTTAATGATCAAATTGCTTTACATAGCTTAGAGTGTTTTGGCGATTAATTGGGCCGTTCTACATCCATTTCATAAAGGCTATCGTTTGCTAGCAGTACTGTGTTTTATCATGATAAACATTGTTCTTTATTACATTTGTGAATTGTATGTAAAAGCCCCTTTAAGGGGTGATTGTGTGTGAATGTTTTCATCGACATAACTAATATGTGCATATATTTGTTTATTAAGATCTGTCTAGTTTTAAAGCTATTCATGATCTGGTCCCACCCCACATTGACATCTACCTAATCAGGATGGTGATAGCACTTTTAGAAAAGGAGGGCTGTAATGAGAAGATTGTCTCCAACACAACTATCCCACATTCTACATCACAGCAAGGCGCACCATCTGAGAACACACAGCATAGAACATCCTTGCCCAGCCCTGCGTGGATAGAAAAAAAGGTTAGTAATAAAGAGAATATTGTGTTTATTGTATGCATTGTGGAAGTATGAGCTCTCTGTGATAATCTAGATACTTAACTAATGTGATGAATATGAAATTTCACATTTAAAACTACTCCGTAGAAATCTTCTTTTTTTTTCTCGGAGACCGCTTTCCTATATCACAAGGTTACTGTTATGTCTTCAGCATTCTAAATATTCCTCAACAGTTACTTTGTATTACTAGAAAACAACTGACGGCTTTTGCTGTTATTAATGCACTAGTAATGGTGAGAATTTCTGTATCGTGAAATGACTATATCACTCCAATTAGAGAAAGTGTGTCTGGTGCTTTTTTGGGGCTCTATACACCAGGAAAGCATTGGAAGGCTAGTGCAAGTGCGTGGCAAAATGACGCGCTGTACTAATCGGATGGTGTCTGAGACCATCTAATTAAAATAGCCGAGTCTAACTTGGCTATATCTGTGTACAGCCACTAGAGGCATTGAAACCCTGCAATGCAGTCAAACGAGAGGGACATGACACCGAGACCAACTCATTAATATGAAGTGCTTATAATGTCCCTTTAATGAAATTCAGGCCTGATTCCAGTTCACAGTCATGGGAAAACGCTTAGACGCTTCTTCATTGAGAGAACGTTTAAAGTTGTACTATCCCCAGTATGTGATAAAATCATTAGGTTGTATCACAGTTGTAGAGGGTAACGCGATTGTGCCAGGCAGGAGTTAAATGTCAGTAATAATCCTGAATAGCAAGATCGCTAAAACAAAATTTAAGAAAGGACTGGGAAAACGGTGATCATTGCTTCTGGGGAAGAGATGAACGAACAGAGCAAAGGTTGTTTTAGTTCGCTCAATATTATTCTTTGTTGAAATTTGCCCTTTGGACCTACAGTGAGATTTTTTTTTTCTCAAGTTCTAACTTGTTTGCAGGTAATGTTTTTTGGTTTTGCTAAATGTCTTCACACAGTCCCCAAAAAAGGTTTCTTTCTATGTTTTGTTATAGGGCAGGAAAAGTAGAGCATATAAATTAGAGGTGTCTTTTCTGAATGATTGTGTGGGTGATGTGATAATGATGGGTACATATATATACTTACATGTGACATAATTGCATTGACTAAGGCCTCCTGCGGTTCACAGTGGCGACACTAGTACTTTTAGCTCGGAGATTTATGGTTTCTGTGTTCTTTTTAACAATTTAGAAGCCAGCAGAAGCAAGTAAACCTAGTATACAAGAGACAGAACCCGTAAGACAAGAGGCACCTAAAGCACAGAATCTGGCTCCCATCAAGTTGGCATCGTGGAATCAACCCTTACTGGATGCAGATACAGAGGAGCTATTCTCAGAATCACAGATAGAGGTAAAAAGGATTCTCTGCAGTAAAGTAAAATATAATAAATAATATTTTAATAATTTGTGACCTTTTAAAGGCAAAGCAACACAGTCCTCTAGGGTAACAGGTACAGAACAACAGTCTCTTATGCAAAAATGGTGTGGCTTATTTACATCGTGCACAAAAATCCACGCAGCAATCAGTTTGTTCAAAACTTCAGCAAAACAGAAAGGAAAGTCTACAAACAAAATCCTAGCTCAAATTCGAGCACTAACTAAACATAAAGTAATGTCCCTTTCTAAACCAGGGTAATAAACTACACAATTCAACAAAATAAACATTAGTTTCACCAACCTTTAACACTTTGTCTGGTGCTGCTCTGCACAGACCTGCTCTCTCTGCAGGTCAGATTGTATCTCTCCCCTTTCTGCTCTGAGACCTGCTAATTAAAGCCTCAGCAGTTGCTAATTGGGCAGGTGAATGAGTACAGGCTATGGAGGAGTCTGGGTCCTAAATAATAGAATAAAACTTCCAAAAGAAGCTGCCTTACTAAAATGCAGCCAATAGGAAAGGAACCCAGTCCAATCTCAAAAGAAAGTATAAATAATACCAAAAAATAATAAAACTTTATTAGAGTATAGTAAAGAAACCTGAGACTACAAAAGATGTCAAAAGTCTAGTACTGGGAAAGGTATAGTATATAGAAAAACCTAATCAACTGCCAGAAAAAAAGAGGGCAGTAAACTAAGCTGGTATTATGTATACCTTAGGAAAAAGCAGCATAGAGGACCTAAGTAGGAAAGAGAGGATACCTGTGTGGTATATAGTATATGGAAACCCAAGAGAAAGGGGTAAAGAAAATGCCCCAATTGTAACATAAAGGGAACCAGTTAAAATACTAATACCCAAAATCAAACGCCCCCCTTCCTAAGTCAAAGGGACAAATCCTACTGTTGAACAATCATTCTAAGCTAATCGCTATCTCCTAAATAACACCTTCGTGGGTGTTCTAATCTAATAACTAAATCTAGACATCTGTAGTCGAAATAATATTGTGCCCAGTGCTCATAAGTGCAAAACAAAAACCCAACACGCGTTTCGGCGAACTACACGCCGTCCTCAGGGGTCCTAAATACCTTCCTTTTATTACCTTCCCATAGACTCTGTCACAAATTGTTTATATGTTTTTTAGGAATTTACATTGTTATGAAAGTAATCAATAGTTGTGTATTTTGAAAACATAGAATGTTACAGCCCATTTAGGCTGCCCAATTCTCTAATTACTTTCATTAGTTCCTGGCCTTATCTTATATCTAGGATAACCTTGAATGTTTTGTTGTGATTGTTGTTACAGAATAATGGAACGACTCCTAAGAGGAAACTACCTGAATGGTTTGAAGCGCATAAAGAAAAAGCTGCACAGTCTAATGCGACCAAGAAAGTAAAAATGGTGAAAAAAAAGGGTCTCTTTGGATGAAGAGGTTCAATTAGAATAATACATTGTTATATATGCACATTTATGTTAAATGTTGCAAAAAAAGTAAAAATGTATCAGGATTACTTATTGTGTGTATCATACACACTGTAATATACAGCAAAGGTTACGGTTAAGTATTTGGTTTCTTGTTTTTGGCATATGGTGAACCGATCCAAAATGGTCTGTTTTTAACAGTGAAAAATTGTGCTGAATGATGGTATTTTTTTGTACAGCAATATTCTAATTCTGGTGGAATTATAATTTTTTTGTTCTTTGTGTTTGTTTTTTCTTTTTAATGTTTTCTGTTTCACTTTCTTTCTTCCTTTCAGCACTACCTAGGGCAGAATATTAATCAGATTTCAGTGCTTACAACTTCCTCCTTTCTCCTCTTGATTGTTGGACAATTTCAGCCACCAGTCAAGTTATACAGGAGGCAAAGATAATACCATTCTGATACTGCAAGAAGAAACATATCTGTGTGTACACAACAAAAACTTGATTGCAGGCAGAATTTAAAAAGAGAGAAAAAAATAATCAGATCCTTTATGGTATAGTCCACTTTGGCTAGCATTCATATGCTTCAGAAGGGACCATAACATGTTTTTTTTTTTTTTTTTTTTATATATAGTAGATTTGAGTCCACATACTAGTCCGTATATGACTGCAGTGTAGTGTTAATTGTGTTCTATGAACATCTTCAAGTTAAGTGTTGAAGTTCGTCAGACTATGTTTGAATAGTGTGTAGATTCCCCTTTTTTTTTTGTTTAGGTTGTTGTGGTGAATTGACAGATTACTTGGGGTACATTGTTCATTCCATATGGCTAGGTTTTTGTTTGTATGTTTTCCTACTTTTATTTTCACCTGGATGGGAATTAAACCACCAGAGGTCTTAAACTTTGTAGCTGAATTTTAACCCACTGGGCTATATTGTCCCCTAGAAGTTTAAAAACACATTGATAGGATTTTTGTACATGCAAGTTTTGAGGTTGAATATCTGTTTAATTCTTTCACATGTACATATTAGTCCTTTAAAGTCAGGTGTGTTCAAATACAAATGATTGTAGGCTTGTCTGATCACCATGTTTGTATGGGACATTTGTGTATTCTCCATTCTGTGAGGCAAGGCTGGAATCTGCTGCCCGGCAAGACTTCGGCGTCAAAGTGCAATTTGTGAAAAGTAAACAAAGCAGTCACTTTGAGGCCTCATAAATTAATTTCACATTGGGAGCTCATTAATTCCACATACTGCTGGGCAGCACTTTTAAGAAGTCAATGCTCAGCTGTGAATCCCATGGACTTGTCAGTGATGTCCTGGGTTTCATCTGAAGACACAGTATTTGAGTACACTTTATTTAGAGCAGGCATAACTCTACCCCTTGTTACTTAACTGTAACTCATATGGTTCACTGCCCATCTGTTGCATTCAAAGAATTCTGGAAGTTGTAGGCCATCAACATGTGTGGGTCCAGAGTTTGAGATTCCTGATTTAGAGGTATATTTTATGTACAAGTGATAGATAAGATTATACTTAGTTGTTTGTTATTTTGTTTGTTTTTCTTGGTAAAATGTGAACACTATTGTACATATAAACCTTCCTGGGGCCTAAACAGTCCTGCAAATTGTCTGTCTTTGAGCTCTGTATATCTTTTTTCATGTCTCTCTTTTTTTTGTTTTGTTTCAAATGGGAAAAAAAAAAAAATTCTAGACTTTTGTAAAATAAAAAGTTTAAATAAATTGTTATACAATTTTTGTTTTGTTTTTTTACCATCTTTTTACATGATTTTTTTGTTTTGAGCAATGGCTAAAGCAATACAATAGTGGGTATGACATCATATGGAACAAAAAGAGAGATTTCAAGTATTGCATTGTTTATCTGTTTAGTCGTCTGCACAATGTTTGAAGTTATAGGAATAAGAATACAATATATACTAGTTTACACAGATATTTTTAAAACAACTGGCGCAGCTGTGGGGTCTACAATGCTATAACACATTTATATAAGAAAAGAAAATCGCTTAACTAAATTAATCAATCAACTGCTGACATCTCTCCTACACCAGTCCTGTATGACAAACTTCCTGGATGGAAGGATACTTGTGGCCAATGAATAGGAAGAAAACCGCTTTGCGCCATCTCCAATAACCGTACTCCCTGATTGCCAATTCTAAGGAGCTATATAAAATATTAAGGATTGGCAGTAACTCCCAGCAGCCTGCCGGGAACACGGTTTTGGCTCAGCATGTGTAATCTGAACAGCTTGCGGCCTAGGTAAGTGAGAAGAAGTGAGGGCAATTGTAGGAGGCCATGATCAGGCCTCGTGATTGGTATGTTCCATGAGTGGGCATGGAGACAACATATCTCATATCGCTGGCTTAGTTTATCCCAAAATTGGTCACACCAGGCATCATAGCCTCTGAGGAAGGATGCCATCGTCTGGTATAATGTGTCTTGCTGTGAAGCTGAACTTGGAACAATATAAAATACTGTTGATGTGGTATACATTGTGTCTGCAAATGTTACATGTGATGTTGTCTTTACTTTGATTTGTGTCTGTTGTGGACAGCATGTGCAATGTTGTCCACCTCCCACAATATACAGCGCAGAACTGCACTATACTGTACGAAAGAGCCTGGCCAAGCACTGGATCCCTCTTGGTTCACATGGACTGTGTGTGTTCCAATTAGCAAGATACAAATATCTCTCTACCTGGACCACTTTAATTTTCCATGTAGTGGGCCCATTACCTGTCTGGTCCTTTTCCACTCCTGTACAGCAGTGATGCTGCATGTGAGTAAAGGAAGAACTCTGACTAGAGCAGAATTCTCCATATTAGAAACTAGGGAAGCCACCCCCCTATGGACAAACAATCTAAAAACAACTTAAATATACTTATATTTTTATGTGAATGTGTATATCTTTGTCTGTATGTGTGTGTTTATTTCGCATGATATATATGCATTGTCTGGTAGTGTGTTGTTTGTGTCTGGAAGGTGTGTATCTGGGGATATGTATCTGTATTTGCGAGTATGTAAATGTGTGTCTGATAAAATATTACTCAATATATATTAACCCAGGGGTTTTATGCACCTCTCATATTTTTTTTTTTTAAAGGACCACTATAGTGCCAGGCAAACATACTCGTTTTCCTGGCACTATAGGGTCTTTAGGTCCCCTCCACCCTCAGGGCCCCCCTCTCGCAAGGCTCTAGGGGGTGGAAGGGGTTAAATCTTACCTGTTTTCCCCCCGCCGGGCTCCCTCTGCGCGGGGAACTCTCCTCCTCCTTTTCGCAGTCATTGACTGAATGCGCATGTGCGGCAAGAGCGCGCGCGCATTCAGCCAGTCCATAGGAAAGCATTCACAATGCTTTCCTATGGACACTGGCTGAAAATCAGTGAGAAGCACCTCTAGTGGCTGTCAATGAGACAGCCACTAGAGGCTGGCTGGATTAACCCATAGGTAAACATAGCAGTTTCAGAGAAACAGCAGAAAAAAATGAAATAAATGTTAAATATAGAGAGTACTGCACCCAGAAATGGTAGAAAAGCTCTCTACTAGATATAGCATTAATCTACACTTAGACTGTGACTTATATAAAAGATCTAAAGAGCTACCACGACGGACCTTACTTTCGACCCATAACACATGCACATTGAAGAAGAATTATTGTCTCTTTATTGTCTACAGTGTATACTAGTATTCTCTTTAGTGGTACTGCATGACACATAGACTTACTCTACAATCCTCATGTGGTTGGAGATACGTCATATGGAATCTGGAAACAATGGCATGTCTAATCATACGTTGTATTTACTGAGAAACATTATTACTGTATAGAACCACTTCGACTGTTTTGCTTGAATTATATGTAATCCACCTGTTATGTCCATGTGCTGGTACCTGGGTGTCTACACCATACACTGTATTTACTTTGTTGCTATTGTTATTATCCTCAATAACACTCTGATTACAAAAAAAAATAGAGTAACCATGTCACTCAATGATGACATCTGTGTAATTATGGAGTGTTAGTGGAGAGGAGTGTTACCTTAACTACTCTTAAATCTATTAAATTAAATACATAAATTGCAAAGACCCCAAATGACCTTTCTGCATGTATTCTGGTGGTCATGGGGGTCAGGGGAAAGTAGTTTTTACTTACCTGAACCTGTCTCATACTGCTGCCATGATCTTCCTGCCATTCCTCTTCAGTTCCTGGTGCTTCATCTGCCAGGAGTTGACGTCAGCCCTGTACTGTCACTCAAGAATACAACACGTTTATGGAGGAGATCCGCCATAGAAAGAGCTTTATTTCCCCTTAGCCATGTGTAACGGATCGCCTGGCACCCCGACTGGGTACCTCCGTTGAAGGATGCTCCTAGCGCTTCCTGAGGACTCCAAGCACTCTGGCAGACACCACAATCACCGAACCGGAGAAACAAATAAATTCTCCCAAGCATATGAATGCTGTAGACCGTTGAATAGGAACCATACGAATAGGTTTACTCTACTAGCAGTCAAACTGGAACAGCATACAGTAAATCCTTCCCCCAATAATGAGACGACACTTCACTTTGAGGGTTAAAACAGGAACTCCCTGTACTGTCACATACAGTCTCTTTTATTCCCAATCCACAAACATAGTACAGCCCACAGGGCGTTACAAAACAACCAATCAATCCGTACAATACACCCAGACACTCCCACACAAAATCCTCCCCTCTGCAGGTGATATGATTACTGAACACAATGGGTAATCTCATTATCACCGGCAGAGGAATACAGTTTTTACACAATATTTCTAACTTCTAAAATATACATGTCACAAACATAAAACATACATTTTCATAATCAATCCATTCAGGGGAACAACATATTAAAAAATGGCACGAATCAGACCAGGGGTTCAAAAGTTAAGGGAAAGTCCTTTGTGACTAAATGAAGCATGGCTTTCTGGCCCAAACCAGTTTCAGAGTCTTCTATCCTGGAGAGTAATTCAATTATCTCCCAGGACAGACACAAGACTCCATTAAGCACATGGTTGCAAAAAGACACAAAACACTTTAAAATACATAAAGTCACATTTACACATAACACACAGACATTTCACATATCCCCAGATAGCTGGGATCTGAGTGCACATTATTAGATGAATAGCACTCAGATCACACAAATAAGCCTTTCTGCAGGGGAAATAAACGGTTTAACCTGCAGGGCCATAGTCCAAAGGGAGCAGGCAAGCAACCAGGCTTCTCCAGTTCACAGTGGCGAGGTTGGTTTCGCCACACTTCTCCCCTTTACCAACTAGACTAACAGGGTATCTGACCTCCTGCCGGTCAGTGCCCTGGTTAGTCCAGCAACCCACCCACAAAACAGAAACAGCAGTACAGCCCACCCACAATAACTGGTTACTACACCTGGGTAGAGGAGAACTTTGTCCATGTCCAGGTGCCTCACCACGACTGTGTGGGCAACTGTTAGGCTGCCTTGGTGGGTTGCTGAGTGGGCAGAGACCAGCGGTACTCTGCCCTGATGCCAGTGCTACCACGGAAGTAGCCTGGTGGGAGCCTGGTTGTGGGAGGGAGGGACCGACTGTCTCCCCTCTGGATACACCGCTCTGTGGCTGGGGAACAGGACCGACTGTCCCTACCCCTTGTGCTGTAAGTGCAGAGACTACAGTCCCATCTGCACTGTTGGGGGGTGTAACATCTCCCCTTGCTGGGTTAGGCTGCCGCTGGAGAGAGGGTGTAACAAGCTCCTCTCTCTGAACTGTAAACTGCCGCTGGGGAGAGGGGGTATCAGGCTCCTCTCCCTGACACTCTCTCTGCTGGTGGAGAGGGGGACCAGCTGTCTCCCCTTTCATTATTTTGTCCTGTGGTTGGGGTGCGAGACTGACGGTCTCTGCTCCCTGCAGGACACTCTGCCGCTGGGGAGGAAGGACGGCACCTTCAGCTCCCTGGGGCACACACTGCCGCTGGGGAGGAAGGACTGCACCTTCAGCTCCCTGGGGTACACACTGCCGCTGGGGAGGAAGGACGGCACCTTCAGCTCCCTGGGGTGCACACTGCCGCTGGGGAGGAAGGACGGCACCTTCAGCTCCCTGGGGTACACACTGCCGCTGGGGAGGAAGGACGGCACCTTCAGCTCCCTGGGATACA